AAAAAAATTATTATAAGTTGCTTATTGTTGAGTGAAATATGAATACGATTCAATTTAAATATTGTTTTTGTTTATATTAAAATATTTTAACACTTCTTTTTGGGTTAATTATATTATTATTGATACAATTTCATCCGACAGTTGCATACAAACAGGGCATGTAGATCTTTTTATCTCGGAAAGCTGTTTTCACAGATCCATAATTCGGGTGGAGGCGATGGGGAAAATGCAATTAATTTTATCACAAAAGCCGTTTCAATTGGGGAGACCAAAAACATGATAGTTCTGGATGTCTTATTTCTAGCAAACGAGGGTGATGGTATTTCATATAAATCTTTGGAAAAACAACTATGTATTATATTGAGTTTATTGACCCTATTGAGATTGATAAACGATTTGTTATTAATTAATCCTAACAATAATATTAAAGAAGTCATCATGAATTAATTAACTAGTCAGTTGTATTCGAAAATATTTCAACACAAAACATAATAGATATTGTAGAGGTTTACGATTTACCACTCGCTTTCCACGTCTTCACTTACGAGACAATAACTTTCACAAGTTTTCACATCATAATAATACAAAGGCTTTAATTCTCGAGAAAGAAAAGGTAGAAGAGTTTTTCCAGTAAGAGTAAAAATAGTAATATGTAGAAATACCTACGTTATACTCGTCCATAGAATATTAAACAAATATTTGCAATAACAGTGTAATAATTCAATATTATCAGATTTTTGCATTGAAAGGATACAATTCAAATCTAGGGTAAGAGTTTAATTCCTTGGCGAGTATGCTGGAAATCGCGTGCCCCAAGTATTAACATAAAACACCTCCCTGTATCCCCACTAAGCTAGGGTTCAGAGCCCAACGCCTTTCACAATTAAAATAGGTCATTATCGGCTTTCCGTAATCCACCGATTAAGGTCCCTTACCTGACCCTGTGACGTTAAAACACAAATCAATAAAGGTGGAAAAGTAACTCGGCAGATTCAAGACCATTAAGCACTCAGAATTTAAGTAGATTCTACTCCTAAAACAATATATTACGACGATAACAGCTTTCTGTTTAGAGTAACTTTTTCTTAAAATTTACAAACTGAATTTTTTCTTGAATTTGTTTGTAATATTTTAAAGTAGTTTTAAATATATGCACATTCTTATCTCCTCTTATTCAGACAGATTATTATTAGATCAGTCTAATAATCATTTTTTGCTAACAATTTTAGTAAATATTGAGTAATAAATTATCGTTTTTTTGGTAATAATCGTGGATCGTATAATTACGAGTCGCTGTTCAGACAGAAGACACACATTGAATCGAAATTAAGTATTGACATTGTTTCGACAAATATTTATCAATTACTGATTAAGTAATGTACAACATATTTAATAACGATTTGGTTACATTTAATTTTTACCCGTTTATTATTTATTATACCTATATATTTTATAAACTCTAACTTAATTTCTTTAACTTTTGGAGTTATTTAATTGAAACAAATTTCGTTGTTTCACCCCTCATAACTTTAAACTGTTGTTCATTTTATGGAGTAAGCTGTCTGGTATTTTTTGGTTTCAGTTCAGTACTGACGTTTGTAAATTATTAGATTTCGATATATATTTCTATATGTTTCCCGATTCTAAAAAAACATTATTGATAGCTTCTTATTGATCTTGACTTAAATGTAATGTGATATAATTTTATATAGATTTGAAATAAATTTTCAAACTAGGTCATATGAGACAATCAGCAATGTGATTTTTATCTATATTTTTAAAATATGCATATATGTATATATATATATATATATATATATATATATATATTTACTGAATAGCGAGAAAAGAGTTATTGTAATTTTCTGTATTAATTTATATGTTTGTACCTACTGTTTAAAATTTCTCAAAACTGATATCCATTTCAATCGAACTTCATAAAAAGGCTCTCACATATTTTTTAATAATGTTTATAAATTCTGCCATAACAATATCAAATATTTTTTGTTTGTATTAACTTTATTCAGTACTAGAAAACTTTCTGGACAATGAAAACCTTTAAAAATGTTTTAAAAACATTAATTACAGAACATCAATTACGTATTTAATTTTGAAATACAAGTTGCACTCTCAAGTATTCATACATAAATATAATTAAAAACAAGTAAAAACTGTTCAGACTATTTCTCTAAAAGGAAATTTTAATTTGAGAATATATAAAACGAATATTATAACATCAAAATGGAATCGGAATCCGCTATCACGTAATTGAATTAGCATTTTATTAGGCGAGTTGCATCCTCGCATTCCACGACAAATGTATGCTTCATCACGTTTGCTGGTTGTTGGCAACCAAATAGGAAACTTTAGATAAAATCGACATCGTGTCCCCGCCTCGCCGCTATTGTCTTCAAAGGAAACGCTTCGGACTTAGAATCTAATTAACATTTTAAATGCGAATCAATTACGGTCATTACTATTTGTTTAATAATGAGATTTTAACTTTAAAATAATATAACAGCTTGTATTTTACTCACCTGAAAAAATAATTTATATATTATTTATAACACACTTTAGTTAAGAATATAATCACTATCCAAAGTAATTGATAAAAATTTGTAAGTAAAAATTGTTTACAAATACATTTAATATTAATTAAGCTATTATTTTTATTTATAATTTAATTAAAATTCATAATCGAAAACCGTTGGTAAGTACTTATTACATATTTACTCAACTGATTGCGGCCGTAACATTTTATTTATTTGGTATTTCAGTAAAGCTTAAGCTGTTTTTACATTGTTGTCAATAATTAATAACAACAAATGCTCGGAATAAAAACACAATATTTGGTTATGACAATAGAATGAATTAAATGAAGTGGAAATTAAAATATCTGAAATAATTCAGATCACAATAATATCGTTGTATTCAAAGTGTTTTTATAATATATTTGACGGAAACCTGGACTTATAATTTCAAATTATACGGTTGAAATCACCAAACCTTCTTGAGCAAGCGTGGTGATTAATACTCAAACCTTCTCCATGTGAGAAGAGGCCTTTGCTCAGCAGTGGGCTCTGATAGGCTGATGATGATGATAATATATATATTTGTATAAAGTAATGAATATATGTTGTTATTAAAGAAGTGTGAGTGTTCATCTCTATAGTGGTTGGGAGTCTGATAGAGTTATGCATTATTAATGAATACCGACAAGTAATTATGGGTTGCTCAGATTTATAGCTGGAGGCGTTTGACGTTTTGTTTTGAGGGCGTCGGATTGAAACGTACCATTATAAATGTGACAATGAATATTCAGTGAGTTCTTTTAGTTCTGGTTTTAATAGTAACGGTAACTTTATGTGTTTGACTATCGAATTAATAAATATATGTAGTAGCCGATATTAAAATATTCATGACTATGTATTAACCGAATTATGTATATAGAAGTGATATATTAAACATTTAAAAGTGATGTTATAAATGCAATTACAATCAGGCTAGTATAAAATTTGTTCTGAATACCAGATAAGGTTAAAATTAGTGCTCTTTGCATGTAAATGGTTTGATTCCTGATTAAGTCAATTACGTTCTCAATAACAGTTATTACACGCTATTGAGTTGTTTTGATTTGCGTCATACAAAATGAAAAAAAACATATATTAAAAGTATGACTTTTAGTTATTTTATAAGCGATTTTGTAACGATTTATGGATTGATATTATATATGATATGTTATTAATAAACAATCATTCAATTAAAACAAATCATCATCATCAGCCTATCAAAGTCCACTGCTAAGCAAAGGCCTTATCTCATGGTTAGAGCATTAATCACCACGCTTGCTCAATGCGGGTTGGCGATATAAAAATCAGTGATATCGAAATTATGAAAATTAAAAATAAAATAGTAACCATTATTCAATCCCTTAAATCGCCGTACCGACAGGATATATACATATTCGTGCTCATTAATTCTTAATTATATTTTTAATTATATGATAATGTTCACTGGATGTTTCATAATTTGTTATCAAAATTAACACTTGAACCATTTTCAGTAATTTTACATTTTGTAATAACGATACACTGTTGTGTAAATGACATGTACATACATAAACTTTGTATTTATTTTAAAACTAACATCTACTTGATGTTATGTACATAGTAATAATTGGTTTACACGATAAGGTTTTCAATATTTAGTAAAACTATTATCTCTGTTTGTAAATTAAAATTTAATGAAACAAAACACACAATTAGATTAGGTAAACTTAGTTCGATAAACATTGATTTGTATATGTGTTTGTTTCCAATTATATAAATAACAACAAAACTAATTTGTTAAAGCCATGTAAATTTAAAATATTGTTTCACAAATATTGTACTAAGAGATTCAACACATTTATAATTTAAACTTGTGAAATTTATGACATAATTATTTTGTGTCAAATAAATTTTATTGTACTTATTTGTACAAGTAATAAAACTAAATCTGCTCTTATACATTACGCTGAAGTCTCTACATAGCCTTATTAATTATCGTTAAAGCCAGTTGTTTATGTTTGAACAAATTTTTCACAATCCGCAGCGTCATCGTCTGCCGATCGACAAATAACCAGCTCATTAACGGATAAACCAGATTTGTTGTTAAAACCCTGTTTACACTGATCGAGTTAGAGGCACGGCTGACAGTTTGAAACCATTGTCATTGTTTACACATATATACTGAAACTGATTTAAAACCTAATATATGTAGAAATATAAGATAGAAATGGATAGATGGATGGGCCATAATTCAAGGCATGAAGTTCTTTTAAACTGAATAATAGTTGAAATCGGATATAATTAGTCCAAGGACCAAATTACAACACCAGAATAATAATTAATTCGTTTTCACAAATTAATTATCCAAAGAGTCAAGGTTAACAGGCTAAGTACAACTAGTGCACCGCGCCACGTCAGAGCCAAGACTCCCTTCGAGGGCATCGGGTCATCTCAGGCCCCCCTGTAGGGAGGGTCGAGGTGAGCTTGTCGGGGCAACGGCCCCCTAAGCTGGCCTCCACTCCGCCTGTAAAAACAGGCGGGTCGTTGTGGTGGGCGTTTGCAGCCCTGGTGTCTCGTTTGGTGATGATTGCCGCGGCGAGGCGCCGTCCTGAGAGTTATCTCAGGTAGGCTGCCATCAGCCTGCGGCCGTCAGTTTAGATGTTTGTCGGATATGGCGAGTCGATCCTCCAGCCGATATCCGACAGTTGTCGAGTCTAGCTTCTACTCCTCTCCGCGGGAAGGAGGTCTCGCGGCAGGGCGTATTTATCCGGGGGGCGTCTGTGGTACGGGGCCAGTTCCCTTATGTGCGGGAAGCTCGATGCCTCTGACCGCCGGAACATGGCCCGACTCAGGCGGATGATGAAGTCGTCAAGGCTCTCCATGCGGAGGTCTCTGGTGATTGTCGAGTTCCGTACGAACCGAGGCGCGCCTACAAGTGTTCTCAGTGCCAGCGACTGCTGGACGCGCAGGCGACCACGCCCGGTTTCCTTGACTAAGGGATACCAGGCGGGCGCGGCGTACGTCAAGCGCGTTCTGATATACGACTTGTAGACGGCCAACTTGGCTCGCAGTGGGAGATTAGATCGCAGGACAGGACGCAGGAGAGCACGTGCGGCCCTCGTCTTGTTGACGACTTCCTTCACGTGGGGCTGCATTGACAGGCGGCGATCGATAGTCACACCTAGGTACTTGATCGTCGCCGCCCAAGTAAGAGGCTGTCCCATCATGGTAAGGGGCTGCGGTAATGGCCGCATCCCCATAGATATCGCCTGGGTCTTCCCTATATTGACAGAGAGGCGCCACTTGTCCAACCACGGGGGGAGTTGATCCAGCTGCCGCTGCATCTTCGTCGCCGCGTGAGTGGGCGATAGCGAGGTGGTAATGAAGGCAGCATCGTCGGCGTACAGCGCCAAGATCGCGCCCTCCGCCACCGGAATGTCGTCCGTGTACCTGGCGTAGCACACCGGAGACAGGCAACTCCCCTGAGGCACACCGGCTCTGACTAGGCGAGGCGTAGACAGGGTGTCTTCCACCGACACCTGGAACCGCCTGCCTTGTAAAAAGGTGGCCACAATCCTAACTATTCGGCGAGGAGTAGTGGATGTGGCCAGCTTGTACAGTAGACCGGGGTGCCATACGCGGTCGAACGCCTTCTCCATGTCGAGCATCACTGCAACGGCCGACTCTTTTTTGTTAAGAGCTACCGAGAGGACGTGCAGGACCCTCGCGAGCTGGAGCGTGGTAGAGTGTTCCGCTCTGAAGCCGAACTGCTCGACTCGTGGAGTGATGTGAGGCGTCATATGACGCAGAAGAAGTTTCTCGAACACTCTTGAGACGGTGGGTAGCAGCGTGATAGGGCGATAGCTCCCAGGTCTTAGGATGTTCTTCCCCGGCTTCGGTAGCATTATGACTCGGCCGAGCTTCCACTGGGTAGGGAAGTGGCCGGTCCTGAGGACTCCGTTGTACAGCCTCGTCACCGCCGCTATACCGCGAGCGGGGAGGTGACGGAGGGCTTCATTTGTTATTCCATCGGGACCGGGGGCCTTCCGGAGCTTGGTGCGGCGAATCATACGCTGCACTTGGCCGGGGGTGATTACAATGGGGTCTTCCGTGGGGGCTATCGCTTGCCCGAGGTACTCGTCTACTCTCCGTTCAACTTCTTCTGCGTGTAGGGTGTCCTTGGTTGGATTAGGCTGGAACTGTGTCTCCAGGTAGTCAGCGAAGATCTCGGCTCGGTCCGCTGCGCGGTAACGCGGGGTGCCGTCACTCGCTAGCAGGGGCCGGATCGGTTCTGACTTCCTGGAGACTTGGCGGCATAGGCGGTGGATACCCGACCAGTCCTCTCCAGCTCGCTCGATGGTCTTGTACCAGGAGTCTACAGCGTGGTCCTCCAACACCGCTGAGACTCTCTCCGCCAGAGCATTGAGCTGGGACTTGATGGTCGGGCATCGGGTGCGCTGGTATAATCTACGCAGCCTCCTTTTGTCCTCTATCATGTCACGTATCCCGGCAGGCAACTGCGGTCGTTTCCGGTGCGATGTGGTGCTTAGCCGCGAGGCCTCGAGTGCCCGGGTGATAGACTCGGTGAGCTCGAGGGCAAGGCGGTCCACATCGTCGGGGCTGTCCACTCGAAACGACCGCAAGTTCTTCGACAGGTGGTCTGCGAAGATGTGCCAGTCCTGTCTGTGACGCGGGGGCGGGATTTCCCTACGGATCGGCGCCAGATCGATAGTGACCAGGACCGGTTGGTGATCCGACATCACGTGGTCATCTAGTACGTCGATCGATGGGTCTGTGTTCAGGCCCTGCTCTAAAGTGAGGTCGATGACGTCAGGCGCGGCGGTATGTTGGTAGGGGTAGTGCGTTGGGACCTCTGGGCCCATTACTGCATACCCTTCCCTCTCCGCGTCGTTTAGAAGCTTTTGCCCGTTGGCGTCGTCGTGTGTCGAGTTCCATGCCGTGTGCTTGCAATTAAAGTCGCCTGCGATGATGGTGGGGGTTGCCTGGTCTAGGAGTGCGTGGATGTCGCTCTCCTCCAGGCGGCCACCCGGCGGCCTATAAAAGGCAAACACTCGGACAGGACGTCGATCAAGGCACACCTCTACGCCAAGAGCGTAGGCTGAGCGGAGGGAAACTGCTGGTAGCGGTTGATGAATAACCTGCCTTTTGACCAGGGCAGCCAATCCCCTATAGGCTACCCCGGCGGGGGATACCTGGTCACTTCTGTAGACCACGTATCCCGGCATGGTAAGAGTGTCCGTTGGTCTGAGGTGCGTCTCTGAGACAAGAGCTACGTCTATTCTATTCTCTGAGAGCAGTACCCGTAGCAGCTTTTGTTTTGGTCCAGTTAGGCCGTTGGCGTTCCAGTGGACCATCCTCAGTGTTCTATCGAACTAAGAGCTTAGTCAGGGCTCTGAGGATGGTCGGGATGATCTCTTTGACTCGGCCTTCCTGGACGGCCGCTAAGATCTCCTGCAGGATCTGTACGACCTCCGCTATGGGTACTGCGTACGCAGTAACTTGTTCGGACGCTGGGGGTTTGACTTTACTGCCCGTAGCGGACAGGGGGGCTCTCTTTGTCTCTTGACGCGCTGGTATAATCGGGGCAGTCACTGAGGTGGAGGGCGCTGTTTCAATGGTAGATGCGGGAGGAGGGAGGTCTGGATTGACATCAGACCTCACCTGCCTACGCCTTCGCTGCCGGCGCTTCTTGTTCCGGGTCGCTCTGGGTGCGACCGGATCGTTTGCAGCCGCCATTAGTGAACCGGCTGCATTGGTTTCGCTTTCCATTTGGACCGCTCTGGGAAGGGGAGCTGCGGTAGTTCGCGCTACTGCGCCCGCCTTCTTGTTCCTGGCCTCCTTGATGTAGATCGGGCAGCATGAGGAATTAGCTGGGTGGTCTCCTGCGCAGTTGGCACAGGAGGCCGGCTCTTCCCTCGAACGTGGGCATTCCTTGGCTGCGTGGTGTCCCCCGCATCGCACACACACCTGCTCCCTATGGCAGTTGTGTGAGGAGTGCCGGAACTGCTGGCAGCGGTGGCACTGGGCTGGCCCTTGGCGTCCTCTCCACGCTTCTATCTTAATACCGGCCATGCACTGAAGCTCGGTAACCTCGTAGATGGCCGGGATTGTAGAGGGCGTCCTGCTCAGCTGTGCGAAGTAAACGCAGCCGGGTCTTCCCTGGCGAGCCATGATTGGGCGGACGAACTCGGGAGAGAAACCCAACTCCCGGAGCTCATCGACTATGGCCGCCGGGTCTGCGTTCACTGGCAGGCCTCGGATGGCGATTTTTAGTGGGCGATCTGCCGGGAGTGAGTATGAGAACCACGCCACGTTCTCATCTCTTTCTACTTTGGCGAGGTATGATTGAACCTCGCGGAACTCCCGGTCTGATTTCGGAAGGAATCTAATGCCTTTCCCAAAGGGGCGGGCGTTCGGAGCGAATCCGAGTCGCCTTTTTAGTTCGCGCATATGGCGCGACCACTCTGGGAGCGATTCAACCACTAAGGGCGGATACCTGGCCCTGGATGCAGGCTTGTTGGTGTCGGCGGCCGTGGCGGTGGTACCGTCGGTGGCACCGGCAACACTGGAGGCTGGAGGGCTCACTGACGGCGGTGTGGTGCGGGGCCGTGGAGTCGGCGCATCCGCGTTTGCTGTCGGTGAGCAGGTGGCCGGGATGGGTTTAGGTCTCGTAGGCGGTGACGCAGCCATGACTGCGTATGAGACCTCCATCTCTATGCATGGCGAAACCTTGCATGGAGACGTAAAGGCCGGCGGGCGAGGGGGGGGCGGCTTGGGGGGCGATATAAATCGTTCAGCGGGGTAGGGGGGCGGCGCCGCTAGGCGCGGGGCGGGCCTACCTTTAGCCGGAGCCCAGGTGGCTTGATCGCGGCGCGTGTCCTGGCGCTGCCTCTGCTCCTTGGGCGATGCTGGTCGTCTCCGGGGATCACGGGGCGGAAAGATTGCCGGTGAGGCGGCCAACTCCGGGCTGTCAAAGAAGGCGTCTCCTGTCCCAGCCGGTGTGGTGGGACGTGGTGACGGCGATGGTGATGTGTGCACATCGGATCGGGACCCAGACACGTGGGTCAGCTGTCCTCCAATCCGCTGCAACATTGCGGCCGCGGCATCCGTGCGACGTCTGGCTGCACCGTGCCAAACCTGGGCCGCGCGCACTGTTCTCTTCCTTTGAGACGCAGCCGCGGGCCGAGGTGGCGATGGTGGGGCCATCACTACACTAGCACTAACACAAACACAATTTGGTTAAAATTAGGTCCATGCCTTGAAATCACTTAATCTAGGAGTGTCACTGTCACTGTTTAGGTCTCTGTCCTTTCACTTAACACAGCCGAACACGCGATCCTAACCGAGCGCCGTGATTGGTTCGCGGCGGCGTCGGTGGTCTCACGACGGAGAGGGGCTCGACCGTTCCGCACTACATATCCGTTGCACAAATCTGCAGCAGCGGAAAGTGGTGGGTGCTGTGGCTTTGCCAACAGGGAGCTGGAAGTGGATCCGGGCGTGTCGTCAATGGCCAGGTGGGAGAACGTTCCTCGACCGACGCTGGCTGGTGACGGCTACGGCTGCTCGCTTCCACTCCCTTCGAACAATCGTGAACGTCTTTTATACAGCCAGTAGTGGGGAGAGTGGGGCATCGAATCACGAGCTTGGTGGCGCGATCGGTGCACGTGTTGGTTATAGTTATGTTTAGTTGGCGCGCTAGTGCCGACACGGCCATGCTGACATGCGTGCGCCCTCGCACGCGCCTCAAATATCGTTCGACTATCCTGACAATATTATAGTGTCTGGTTTGGTCCACACTGACCCTTCAGAGGTATGGTAGTTAGTTCTGATCCGTCCTGAGGTCCTGCAAAAGATTTCATTAGTAATTTCTCTAGAGAGCTTAGGCCGGAATAATTATTCCCTGTAACCTTTTCTAGACCGGAATTAAAATTCCCTATAGCCTTAGACCGGAACTAGTATTCCCTATAGCCTTCGCTAGACCGGAATCACTATTCCTTATAGCCTTTGCTAGACCGGAATCACTATTCCCTGTAGCACTCATGCTGGACCGGAATTATAATTCCCTTCAGCCACATTTTTTTTTCTTTGCTAGACCGGAACTAGTATTCCCTATAGCTTTTGCTAGACCGGAATTACTATTCCCTATAGCCTTCATGCTGGACCGGAATTATGATTCCCTACAGCCACACGGTTGGACCGGCGTAAGCCCTTCAACTCTCTGCCTTTTTTTTTACTCTTCTTTTTTACACTTTCTTTTTTACACTTTCTTTTTTACTCCTTTTTTTACACTTTCTTTTTTTTTACTTTTTTACTCTTTTTTTTTAAACTTTTTTTTTTTACTTTTTTTTAAACTTTTCTTTTTTTACTTTTTTTAAAACTTTCTTTTTTTACTTTTTTTTTAAACTTTTTTTTTTTTACTTTTGTTTACTTTTCATTTCTTTTTTTTTCTTTTTATTTTACTATTTTCTTAACCTTTCTTCTTGTTTTTCTTTTTTTTTTTAGGATTTTTTCTTTTTTTTAGCTTTTTTTCTTTATTAGCCTTTTTATTAGCTTTTTTACTCTTTTTACTTTTTCTTTACTCTTTTTTTTTGGCTTTTGTTGCTCTTTTTTTTTTTGGCTCCTTCCGCTCTTTTTTTTATTAGAAAATCAGTGAACGATAATCCGGACATACACTCCACTGAGCTAGCCCGTTCATCTCCACTAGCCATACTCATGTGGGTGAACGATGACCCGGACATAGACTCTAATAAGCTAGACCGTTCATCTTCACAAACTGATCAAAGCGTAGTCCGGACGTGGATTCTGAAAGCCCTTGACAGGAAAAGAATTGATGCCTTAGGAATGTGGTGCTGGCCAAATACGCTGTTACGCATACCTTGGACGGTCCGTCGTACGAACGTCACTATAATCAAAGAACTCAAAAGACAAGATGGTTAGCGCTTATCTAATATCTATTTGCAGAGAATACTGGCGTTGATTGGTCATTTATCAGACAGAACAGCGGATAGTCTTAAACGTCCGCTAGTGATACGAAAAGTGGACAGTAATCGACCTACAGGCCTTAATCACAAGTGGTGGATTCACGGGATGCTGGTTTAAACTATTTGATAATTTTAATAAAATTGCTTCCATTCCAAAAAGAGGCTTTTTTTTTTGCTTTTCAATGCAGTTGGTTTGATTATGAGATGGAGGTGGATCGCTATCCCACTTCTGATGTAGGAATACAAGATAAAAACGGATAGATGGATGGGCCATAATTCAAGGCATGAAGTTCTTTTAAACTGAATAATAGTTGAAATCGGATATAATTAGTCCAAGGACCAAATTACAACACCAGAATAATAATTAATTCGTTTTCACAAATTAATTATCCAAAGAGTCAAGGTTAACAGGCTAAGTACAACTAGTGCACCGCGCCACGTCAGAGCCAAGACTCCCTTCGAACAATCGTGAACGTCTTTTATACAGCCAGTAGTGGGGAGAGTGGGGCATCGAATCACGCGCTTGGTGGCGCGATCGGTGTACGTGTTGGTTATAGTTATGTTTAGTTGGCGCGCTAGTGCCGACATATATATTTAATAAAATTAATTTATTGAGTATATTGTGTTTGTATTTTTATCTCAATTTATTACAATAACTATTGAAATCTTGCATGGTTGGTGTAGAGAAAATATTTTTATTAATAGATTTTAAAACTTTTCCCGCTTCGTCTATGACTAAATGTGCTACCTTAATCCGTAACTCGATAAATAGGCTTTGTTAAGGTGAAGATGGCAGTGTTCTCTTCCCACGTACAATTAAGTATTTAGATAGAACTTTATAAAGCCGACTTGTCCGTTCTAATAAAGCACTACCATTGTGTTATTTTCGACATCCACCTAAGGTATATGCAATTCCATTCAGTTACTTTACGAGTGGGTAAATCTGCTTACGAAATATTATTGGGCTTTGTCATAGTACAAATATAAGTTCCGGATAACACAAAAGTTATGTTTGGTCTTGACCCTATCACGGAACCGTTTAGTTTACGATATTAATCAATAGAAACAACAAAACATCAATGGCTTTTGTTATAGTTTCATTCTTAGTAATAACATCTTTGTGATCGTAAATTCTGTTTTAATTACACACTCGACTATGCGACGGGACATTGGTTGTAATTAAAAGTTCTATATTGATTTAGTTCTATTGTAGTGGGTGAAATTTTATCATTGAATCTGATACGTAATTACAAATAATTGTATTGATTTTATCATAAATACATTTCACTTAAATCTTTCGTAACTACAGCTTTAAAATTATATTACCTAACTATTTTAGAGAACGCCCTAAGGGTAACAATATCTTACAGAAATAAAAAAGAAACCCGGTTTATACTACATAGTACTATAAATTTAAATTGGATTGTAAATATTATTTATATTCTTAAATAATTTTCATAAGAATAAATTTTCAACATCTCAACGGAAATCATTAATAGTTGTTGGAGTAATTATTTTTGAGTTTCTTTTATAACCTCATCAATATTCAAGATCTGTTACAATGTTCATTAAAGAGCTTTAATTAATACGTTAAATGTTTTCGACCAATGAAATGTGAATTGATTGAATATTTATGAAGTTTTATACAAACAGTACAGAATATCATATGAGAAGTAGAATTCATATCGTTTTTTGAAAATAAATATCCTTCTACAATATTAAATTGATATACATATAGGTATATGTACATTTTTATTACGATAAACTATACTTACTTCATATGGAGTTTTTATTAAAAGTCTTCTAAAGTTTCCACGTTTTTTATCACACATTTAGTTGAAATTTAATACACTTTAAAACTATAGGTATGATAGTAAAGTATGAAAACCCAAACTAAACCATATGCATGAGCGTTTAAGCTAACTATAATATAACTTAAATAACCTAATAATAGAAAGGCTAAGATTTATAGACATATCTGTTAACTTAGCCATTGCATTCGGTTGTGTGGGAGAAGGTAAGGGGAGCGGCAGTTATATAGTATTAGAAACATCACTGATTAAATCTTTCATAGATCCATTAATCGTTCAATAGATTTGTCAATACATACGGTATTATATACCGTTTCAGTTAAACTTAAACTTAATTTATTACACTTAATTTTACTTCGTCATCAGCCTATCAGAGCCCACTGTTGAGCAAAGGCCTCTTTCTCACATGGAGAAGGTTTGAGCATTAATCACCACGCTTGCTCAAGACGGGTTGGTGATCTCATATATATAATTGTGAAATTATAAGTCCAGGTTTTTGTAAGATGTTTTCCTTCACTGTCTGTCAGTGGTGTCTAAATACTCTTAGAAATTATATATGACTTATAAATCACATTGGTACTTGCCGGGATCGAACCCGCGCCCTCGTGCATGAGTGGTGGGTCCTTTAACCACTAAGGCACCACTAAATTTTACTTCAGTATTACTTAATCGCAATTATTTAGTAGAATATATATATTTTTATAGGAGTTTATGAAAATGTAAAGCCGTGTTATCCTGTCATCTTAAACAAGGCAGATTATATCGGATGTAACTAACGATTAAACTTAAAGGTTTAGGGTCAACCTATCGAGATGTTGTTTGTTGTTTAGATTATATGAGATATGATACACAATACAGAGACAAAGCTAAGGCTGAGGCGTTCAATGAAGTAAGCCGCAAATTAATTACAAGTATTCGAAACGCTTATAGATTCCGATATAACTATTTAAACATGTGAACCTCAAGTTTAGCCAAATTATTTCATTTCAATTTAATATATATGACAGATTGGTCACATTTTTATAGAAAAGATTTCTTAAAGAAAAATAAATATTTATATAAATAATATGTATATGTCACGCAATTGAGTGTTAATACATAAAAAAATAAGATTCATTGAAATTAGATTTATTTGTTCCTTCGTTATATATCAGAATTTATTTTACAGAAAGATCACTATTGTATCGTCATAAGTAGTAGTCAGTTTTATACAGTAAATTAAACGCTTCTCACTCCAAGGTAAGATATAATCAATTTAATAATGTCAAGTTTTTGTATTATAAATCTATCTATCGTTATCTGATTCACCTGTCGTCGTGATACCTAGGGACCATGTGTTTTATGATATTGTTCCTTTGTTTGTGCTCGTAAAAGCACAGCGTGTTGTAACAATGATTATAATTCGGGAAGATCAAAGTATTACAAAGGAAATATAACTTGCTCAAAGTTGTTGCGTTGGCCCTATGAAAACAATGTACTCATTATTTTAACGTGTCAAACAGAAAAAAAAAAACACTGCCTACAGAAGACATAAAAAGAGTTTACATTCAATATAATTTTATGTTCAGGTTGTAAACATTTATAAGATATAAGTATTTATTAAGTATGAAACAAAATTTTTTCAATTTACAAGGTAAAGGAATTTCAATTTAAAATATTTTTAGCTTGTATGTATATTAATTTACGAATTCTTAAACATTAAACCGAACTTTTTATAATCATAGAAAAAATGTATATGAAATAATTTTATGTATTCAATTCCAAAGTCCTTAATAGGCGGAAAACGAAGCTATAAAGTTGGTCGGCTTCCTGCCGCGATCAAAAGATTTGAACAAATAAATATCGCTATTTCCTCCCACGATCGCTCCCAGATTGTATGTCACAATTCTAAGACAAATGGTTTATATCAAAATATTTTTGATTGGATGCATATAAGAGCCCGCTAGATCTTTCTTTAATGAATCTAGCTATAAACGTTTTATAGTATCAATAACTCATAATCAAGATTGCTTTTATCATAAATAGAATAGACGATGATGTGGAATTGTTTCATAGTCGTAATTCAAGACATTTTATTTCATAATTAACAGTTATAAACCAACAAATACAGCTCTATTTATACATATATCCACGGTTGTCGCCGCATGACTCACGCGACCAGTCGTGGGTCGTGTAGCCACCGATAAGGATTTCTTGCTTCTGTTTCTTCTTGGCATTGTCTTTAATTTTCTTTAATAAATTCATCATAAAATGCAATATAGAAACTGTATTATAGCTTCCTGCAAATAGTAAATTCAAATATCTTCCTTTTATTCATACAAAATTATCTATTACGGTATATAATGAGTAAGCTCAAAGATTATAAAATGCCATCATAGTGTACATAGAGCATTATATTATCGGTGCTCTGTTGGTGGCCCTTATCTGTGAGATCGTTTTTCGATCATTAGGGCATGTTTCATTATGCGGCTTGGTAAAAATCTTGCGTTTTATCTCTATTACATCAGATGGGGTACGATCGTAAACATTCCGGCTAGCTTTGTGTGTCTTTACACCGATACAAACATGCACACGCTGTTACTGCGTTCTCAAAGCATACATCACATCTGCTTTTCAATAACTAACGGTATGGGTATTGACGTACTCGTTAACTGTCGTACATTAATTGATGGAGTGAAAATAATTATTTAAATTTCATTCTATAAGAGAAGAAATATGCTTCAATTCTTTAACAAATATGTATATATATTTTTATGTTCCTAATTCGAAATAAAGGTTTTTTTAATAAATGGAATACTTTTTATTTTGGAATTTTAGTAGTTATTATTAATATTATTACCCATTCAATACAATCATGCAGTCATTTCTTAGTAATAATACATATCACACAATAGTCATATTCGCCTATGCTTCGTATTGTCTATTAGCTCTTGTTCTAAACATATGCGCATTGAATTTTCAATCAAGATCCATATCTGTGCACTCATTAAACACAAAACAAACAGTATCCATACTTAAATTAACAATTGTAGAACCGTTCGCATCATTCTTCGCCCACTCCTTTGTTCGAGATATTTAGACTACTGGTGTAAGTTAAAAACTAACATTCATTTATTTTATCAAGCTTATCCAATTATTTTTTGAAGATAATTTAAATACTATAACTCGTATTTTATGTCATTTATTAGTAACTGTGTGTTTGATTATTTTAAATAAATCTTAATTTTAATACTGATTTAATTATTTTTTTCAATAAATTAATAAATATAAAATCGTCTGATAAAAAATCATTGAAAGTTAATTTTTACTATCCAAATGAAAAGACTTTAAAAAGGGTATGATTTTTTAAAACATAGTGCCAAGAGATATTTATCTTATCGTAAAGATCTCATCCAAGGATTCTAAATGAGTGTGGTCTCTTCAACTTCCCATTAGATGTACATTTTTTATATAGCAACACCAATACTTTTGTTTTGGGGATGTATCAAAAACTTTTGGTATTATATGTGGTGAATTAATAATAATTCTATCCATGGATATTGGAAGCAAAACCTTTGAAGTTGCCTATACAGCGATCCAACAATATAATATTCAAAGTTTTGGGAGTGTCAAAACCGCGGTCACTGTTAACTTGAGTGTGATACTGAACGTGTAAGGTAAGTCACGATCGGCCACCGAGCCAAAACCGACATTTGATAATATCGTTCCCGTTTTCCATTCGACCTATGGACCTTTGAACGCCATTCGACTGTCTAACGTTGCATTAAAATTATTTTCAGCTTAATGAATTTTGTATATTACGTATGTTAAAATTATGAAGTTATAAATATAATAGAACCACATTCATTATTTGTAACTATAGTATAATAGTATTTTATTAATTATTATTTATATAAATTGTCGTTACTTTATCATCTCATCATATTCGTTTCAGATTTTTTGTAATAATTTCTGTAAGTGACGCCACGTTACGTTACATGAATAAGAATTTGACACCGTAATTAATTTTCCACCTACAAAAAGGGCTGAAGTTTCCCCTGACCTTTATTGATGAATTACCCTTCTTAGCCCTTTGTCGATAAGGGCTCGTGCCCTTTGCGATTGATTAGCTGACATTTTGGGACCATTCATTTATATGGCGTCTTCAAGAAGCCGCATAATGCATAGCCGACCCTTCATTTGCGGTGAATGCATAAAGGACCTGTCATGAAGGTTACTGATACATACAAATGTATTTATATTATATATTAACCTTTTCTATTTGTGTTGTGCAAACAATGGAATAGTAACCTTAGAATTTACTTCACATTTTGTGAGTGCTATGTATCAATTTATCGGTGCATGAAAATAAATGAATGATAATTTCTTTCGTGTATATATGCTATTAATAAATGGTGATTTTTTACAAAGCTAAAACAAATGGTTGTTTTTTAGACTCTATGTTAGTATGTTAAAATGACCGCGTCTAATGGCAAAACTTACAAATTGATTTCCACATATTGAATATACGTAGTTACAATAAAAGAATGTTTTGTAGAAGTTTTTGTTCAAAATATTTACAAATAAAAGAGTTTTATGTTTGAAAAATAAGTCCATTAAGAGAGCCAACAAAATATTATTTTAACATTTCGTATTCCTACTTTTTCTTTTTCTTATTTTATTTGTATTAAATGAAAAAAATATATTAATATATTTACCAAGCCATGCTTTTCTTATTTAAGTTACAAATTACTTTTCAAATTACCATATGTTCAAAGGGCAGTAGCATATGGTCGTTTAGTTTTTTTTTTCATTGACACCTGCATTCCTATTTACAGCCCTCACAAATTCGAATTATCATTATAATAATTTATTCAAATGTATGCTCCGAAATAGCCATCGAGGTGTGGTGCCACTTGTACGTATAATATTTTTTATGCTTACGCAAATTAAATATTTAAATTCATTTGTATCAATGTTTATATATGACTATTTTATATATAGTTTGTCTGAGCAAGTAAACTTTAGAATTAAGGTTATACTTTCTGTGTTTAACGTTTTTTGCAGTTAGAATTTTTAAATTAGCTTAGAATTTTTCAGTTCATGTTTCATTTTAATCATATTTGTTGTTTAAAATAGTTTTAATTTGTATAAAATTTATTGAGATTGATTTAAAAAATATATGTAAATAAATATTTAAAAAATTTCTTTAATACTTTCACAACTCGTCTACCCGTGATCACGGTTGCTTTAAAGTAGCCGAAACATCGGGAGTATGTAGTTTATAGTCAAAAATAAAAACCATGTAGTAAATCCAAAAATATTAGTTTCATTTATATATATTTTATTTTCAATAATCTAATTTTGAGTTCGATAGAAAGCTGAAGAAACGTGATATAATAATATAATATCAGTAGTTCATAACTAAATAGCACTAACCAATATTTATTTAGTAGTTATTGGAAATTAAATCAAACCAAACCTCTGTTTAACCTCTGTTTTACTTTGTTGTAATATGATCAATGCCTTTAATACAATAATCAAATGAAAGCCTCTGCTACATATATATATTCATATATTTAGTAATAAAAGTTGCCTTTCAATATTGTATGCATTCGACAAACCATGCTTACACAACCCGCCGTTACCTACACCCCACCGTTGACAATTAGTCATTGCTCTGACGTGTGAACTTAAAGACCAGACCGACACACCTTGCTCAGTAGCTATTTAAATGATGTTTGCATTAATATATAACGATGCTAATAATAAAATAACTTTATTAAAAATAAAAAAACTTTTTGAAACAACGTTTTCAATGAGAATGAAATCTAATAAAGCTTCATAGAAAAACTACGAAAATTATTGTATTCTTATGAAAATAATATGTATATTGTATAGTGCATACCATCCGTTATACTATGATAACCATGGATGGTAGTTGTAACTAGGAACGCACGCCTAACATGAGTTCAGTTAAATAAAAGATCTCTCTAAATATGTCTTAAACTTGTCTGTCTTCAAACTGACTGGTTATTATAATGGGAATGTAGTTTAAATATTTCTAAAGACGAGTCACAGTTAATTTGAAATTTCTTCGCCTGTCACATGTATGAGTTTTAAGTTGATGCTCAGGTATGTGTACAAGGTTTTATAAAAGAATGCTTCTATTATTTTGTACTTTTGAAAAGTTTGCGGTAGTTTCAGTGATACTTGTTCCTTTGTAAGTTTAGAACTTTTTAGTGAGACAGTTCGGAAGGGATGTTGAGTAAAAGATTATATTGCACAGTTAAACATAATTTATTTCATATTATTTTAATTATCACAGATCCATTTATTTTAATAGTCACGTTAACAAAAATATAGTCTACAGTGGTGATGTATTTCGTATGAAATATCGTTGTTGTATGATATAGTACTGTCTACACGTTTATACGACTATTTACAATCTGTTTCCTTATATACAGACGGCTAAATAGGAAAATGGTTATATAAGAACTCGAGCAAAACTTTGAAGTCACTAATCGTTAGTCATTTACAGATTACTTTCGTGAAAGATCACAAACGAACGCTATATTATTTAGTTTTCTAATGTTTTATAAATTAAGTTTAACGTAGGAACTTATAATGTTGACGACAAAGTTTTGGCGAGGAACAGGCAGTGAACATTTACGCGAATAAGAATAGTTAAAAATGCATTCAATTAAGTCTTTATATCAACAGTAGAAATAACGCTACGTGTATTTTTATCATATTAAGCTCAGCATAGTATATGTGAATTTAATATAGAAAGAAGCTAGGAGCTGTCAAACGACAGAATTTTGCCATATTAAGTTAGAGGAATGATTTACGTAAGTTATTATTGTTTACTATCTGCTCAGCAATGCAGTGACGTTAAAATTTTGGCACTTTATAATAAACTCAAAACATTAAAATTACAAAGCAAAATAAACAAGAACCAAGCTATTCCAATATAAATTTCGTTATAATGAACACTCAAACACTTATAAAAATAACAAAATAACCAACCGAGTACCAACTATAAATCATCGGTTTTTTTTCTTTATAAGACATTAGGCACTATTATTGCTACTATAATATAATTTATACCTCCATCGCTTATCTACAGCATAACGCTCTATACAAAATAATCTACCACGACTTTACAAATTAGGCCAAAGACCTCGTAACTATCATCTCTAAATAACATTTAAACTACACAAATTACCAACAAATACGTGATCCACATTCACTCATGTACTATGATTTTATAACATAGCAAGTATTAATGGAAATAAGTAGGTGACTTCATGGCTCTTCATCCAATACTTAGCGGTGTCAAGCCAGTGATTTGAATTCCATTATATTAATATCAATATTCCCTCATATATGTACCAGGTATTCATAACCAGGAAGGTCTTCCGTGAAGTAGGTCAGCTGCATCGTGACGTTCCATCTGACGCAGTGCGGCGGCGAGGGAAGCCGTTGCACCAGGACCACGTTCTCGACACTCCCATAGTTCCAGGATAGCCTCAGTGGGTGAACTCTTAGTAGCAAACCATGTCGTGTAGCGATCGACTCCGAGTCGAGCTGCCAGCGCGCGCCAGTCATTACCACGCGCGTTCGGAGGGTCTAATATAGCGCATAGCTGACGTTTAACCCTTACACTTAATTTGAATGGACTTTCAGCGCATTCGTTCACACCCGTTTCATTGACGGTCACATTCCTTTTGAGGTTGCCATCGCTGCCTTCGTCACTTCGGCACATTCTAGCCTCCAGAAGGTTTTCAGTAATATTAAAACTCCTTTGAGATTCACGAGGCGAACGACCACGGGGTGAGCGGCTACGTAGATCGTCTATTAATATTCGGAATGTCTGTTTATAAGATGGATTGGTTCTTTGACAAGCGGAGATTGTAAAGTCGATGTTATCGCAGTCGTAAGTCCTTTCTAATGCAAAACTACAGTGCAGTGCATTGTAATTCGATCCCCATACATGGTTGAAAGGGATTTCCTGGTATCCGATTCCCGGTTTAGCTTTCCAGCCCGGACTCAAATGTTCTAAATTCAAACACAAATTCGAACCTCCGTCTTGGAATAAAAGAGTTTTCGGTCGTTCTAGTAAAACTCCACCCAATTTCTTTTCTTGTTCCTGACAGTAGTAAGGAGCACATGGAGTGTCTTCGAATATATACAGACGTATATTGAATTCCGTACAAGAGTCCGTTATCATAGCAGGTGCGTAAACGGCTAATTGTAGTGTTTTAACCGCCTTCCCATTAAAACTTTCACCGACAAGGACAAATGTTGAAAGCATGTCCGTAACGAGGTATATCTTTTCGCTGTCCAATTGAGTGAAAACTGGTGTATTTATAGTTTCTTGTCCGAGACTAACGACCTTCTTCCATTGGGGGTGTGTATCGGCTTTCGCATTATTATGATCTATGGCGTACAGGGCGAGATTCCAGAAGCCGTGTTTAAGACTAGCGCAGTGAGGTATTTGAAGGATAACTGACTTATTAAGCTGAAGACGAGGCGGGCCGCATTTAACTACTGGACTGAGTTGCGTGATACCTGCGGGCAAAAAATTGTTTTTAACAAAATGTTCAACGATGTTACCGATGTCCGCCTAAGGCTCGTTTTATATTACTTTGCATAAATTATTCCTTTCGATTTCTTAGTGTAATTACATAGGACTCGTAGCGTTTCGACTTCTTTATAGTTTGATGTAGATCCGTTCTTGTTTTAATGAAAGATGTTATCAATAGCAATAAGCGATGTTCTGTGGTAATAAAACTGTTATTTGTATGTATATTATACTAAAAACCCGTTCGTACATCGTAATTAAAGGCAAATAAATTTTAGCACAAAGTATATTATTACATACATGGTAAAAACGAACTATGATTTATTTAGTAGACATATTTAATTATATTAAATATTGTTTAATAGTTATTGTTATAATATGCTATAAATTAAACATGGCGTTTGATACAATCGCACAAATATTTACCTTTACCAAGCCTCGATCTATATCTGTCGTCTTTGACTACGGCTACATAAATTTGTTCACGTCGTCCCCTACTAACTGCACCTTCTGGTATCGATAAAGCGACACCGGCAGCGGGTAAAGCCAGTCTTGCCCCGGAATTCGATACGGAAAGTGACTGAGATATTGGTGAGTTTGATACGAGTTCCGCTAGTTGCAGCGTCACTGATTCGTTCGCTGCGTCGTACATCGAACCAGCTGAAACAAAGTTGTCATAAAAGATTTGCTCCAGATAAAAATATTTATTAGAAAAGTGGATTCTTTTTTAATGACTGACAATTTGAAATGTATTTCATAATTAAAAAGCTAAATAAAATTCATATTTTAAGTAAAGTAAAATAATATGAAGTAATACAAAGTTAATAATTAAAATAACAAATTGAACAATCCTCTTAAATTACTGAGGTTTTGTAAAGGTTATAATACCACAGTAGTTAAATTTCAAAAGCAAAAATATGAGAATAAAATAAAAAACTCACAACTAGTAAAACAACTGGAGGCTGAATGTTCTGATTCAGTGTATGGTTTGCTGTCATATTCATCGCTCTGGCCCTTGCTCGAGGCGCATGGAGTCACTTGATGGTCGACAGGCGACGCGTAACTGTAGGGCAGTCATTATATTAACATGCTTTCTCGCTATGTGATATAATAATACGTATTACCGATCCTGCGAACATGTGTTCTTGATGGATGCATATTATTTATTTATTTATTCAGTTTATGAAATTTAAATACAATTGTTTCTTGTAAACATTTTACTGTGAAATGAGCTTGAAATTCATGTGCATCAGTTACCTATTTGTCAGATGTGGTACGTCATAATGATGTTCGGTTCTTGGATCCGGCTGAGGGTGTTCATAACGAGGTGGTCTATGCTGCATTAGGTCTGGCGCGAGGGATAGTGACTGCTTCTCTACTGTCGGGTATATTTCTGGTTGGAAATCTTTGGACAAAAGTACGGTTATAGTAGATTTTCAGAAATAAAAAATACCTACATATATCGTAGTATTTTTAAACTCACCAGTTCTGGTCATAGTGTACAGAGAATGGTCCCGAGTTTTTCTCTGTAAGAGTTTGTAGACGACAGCCGCTCCCGCAAGGAATACCACCACAGCTACCGCTATACCAATGTACAGAGGTATGTCACTGTGGGCCGCGACTGGAGACAAATGTGCTTTTAAGAATTTTATATTTTAGAGTAAATTAAAACAGGCATTTTTTACATACTTTCAAGAAATAATACTGTCCCAAATCATTTATTAAATACAGTTAATATATTCAAAAGTCCTGTCATTCAACTACTGCGGTTAACTTAAAAGGCAATACACGAAACAACGAAAACGAGCTACCCCAAAACGATATTGGAAAATATAATAGGAAGGTACAGGTGTATGACGAACTTTTAACGGCTTACGAGTTTGGATATTAAATGTGAATTATGCTTGACCAACATAACGATCGCGGCCGGCGCAACGGAAACCATCGCTTCTCCTATAATTTAAGGTGCAATTTAGTTGAGATCCATTTTATGGAGCTATTCTTAGCGTATGTTTTTATTGCTTACAAATGAAAAAGGCATCGAATTTCTGGCAATGGGTTTGAATATTATTTATGTCATCGCGTCCCACAGTTTATGGTCGGTGTCGCGGCGCATTCTAACAAGTTGTTTTTGTGGTATTTTGGGGCCGTGAATGGGAGAGAATTAGGGATGCTTTTAGTTAACCATTACATTGATAGAGGACATTACTTAGATCACTTTCGGATTCTGTGGTCGCTTTGGAAGGGATGTTGTATTCAGCGCACGATTTAGTAAAAAGTTTTGATAATATGTTCCTCCTTCTATTAAACGTTTTGTATGAAACATGATGATAATACGATAAGTATTTTGAATGGAATAGAATTTATTTTATGAAGTTATTTTTAATATAAAACTATATAACAAATACTGAAAAAGTAGTTAGTGGTAATCGTTTATTAAACAAAACTCATATTATTAAATAAAATGTTTTCCAGTAATTGGATGGGATGAATCAGTATTAGAGTAGATAAAGTCAATGATTATGTCGTACGTGGGCAGGAGAATTATTCTAAAATACAATATAGCTTGCACTTAATTCCTCTATCTCTTTAAATTAACTACACGATCCCAGCTACTTGCGACATTTATTTATTAGGTCTCTACAAGTCTAGGCACTCTCATTTAATCTACACGATAGATAGTAGTATTGTCACCCAGGCCACGTTTGGCCCACATTTTATATGGCTAAGTTTGCTACTAAAGATTAAAACTATGTTTTATGCAATTTTTAATTTTCTCTTACTCCTTCGTATTAAATATTTATTTTTCATTACAGACATTCCTTTTCTGAGGCGTGTAATCTCAAGATATGAGTATTAAAATGTTATTCCGTTTATACTTGATGAAAGCAATTCAAATTTAATGAATAGAATTGAAATTTATTAATGAATTTCTAAGAACAAATCTTAAATACTTTTTGTTAGAAGAAAAGATGTCTGATATAAAAAAAATCACTCAGGTTTTCTAATCTACAATTCTCAATACAGTCGGGATGCTGAGGTGAACGTTGATAAATCGATAGTACGAAGGACTTTTTTTTTAAATATCATTAGCTTTAAGTGCAATTCAATTATATCGAGAAATAAATTATTTACACTGGACTGGTTCCTAGGAAATTCAAGCTTCAGGTCAAATGTAAGATAGCGTCAGTTTAATAATATATTTTACTACGAATCGAATCTAACGATGCGACACTTAACATTTATCTGAGTAATCATTATTTTATGTTTATTTAATTAAACAGACATTTATCAAATGAAAGTTTTATAATTGTTTTATGAGTAAAAAATAATATAGCGATCTGTTTCAATAAAATTCGCTACTAGAATCCATTATTTAAAAAAATTACGTTTAGAATTAATTTGCCTCTGATAGTGTTTATCCTTTTAACCTTCCACTAAGTACTGGTCACTGATAAATTACTTAACTGAATGTTAATTTACTTTAAAGAAAGAACATCCAATAATGTAGATTTATTTGTATACTGTAATCGAGTGTCCAATACTGACTTCGAGTATCTTTAAAATGTCATTATATTTTGATTCTTTTATGAAGTCGTTTAGTTTTCAAATTTACGTTCTTTGTTATTGATATTATTAAATTACAAACCGACTACAGAGCTAAATCAATTTGAAACGCTGTCTGTTAAAATGATAATAAAAAGTTAATAACAAAATAAAACCGCTGGGTCCGATACACCCCGCTGGCTATCTAAGGGTTATGTTGAAATTTGTACACTGTGTAAACATTTGTCAGTGCCAGTCGTATATCCGAGTCGTTGCAAAGAGATTTGAGATACTGAATCCAATCGAAATCCATGAACCCTTGTCGCTTGCTATAACGTGGTAGGAGGCCATCCTGAATTAAATTTTCCGTTTCAGTTGCAGAGAAATTTAGTCCTATTGGTATCGGATATAATGATCATTATGGTGTACTATCGATAAGGGATACGTGCATGCAGTTTGCGATCACCCGCTGAGCTCTCTCGGTGAAATCACAACAAATCATTTACGGAGCCCACCTCCAGTAATGAGAACTGTATCCTACATCCCTTTGCATATTTTTTGTTTGCGACTTTGTGCCGCGATTGAATTTATATTGAATTAAGTCTCATAAGTTCAGATAAATTACTATGACCAGATTTAACATTAGTTCTCGATGTTTAAAAGACAAATACACGTTGAAACGATGTTTTGATTATTTAAATTTCATTCAATGATTATCAGATTAATATACATTAAAATAAAAAATTTACATAGTGATTTCTGGCCTTTAATTTTTATAAAATAAATGTACAAGGCATAACAACTTGAATGAATCACTCACGAATTAACAGATGGTATTTAGAAATCAAGATTTTAAAATATCTAGGGACATAATAAATCTGATATAAAACATGACTCATGATTTGTGTAACAATTGAACTATTCAGTTGTTAGAGTTGCAAAGAATGAAAAGTGGCTATAAAATTTCACAATTTTCCCCTTTGTGTATACGCAATTAGGCTAATGAAGAGGGCGCACTCGGTGCAAATGAATGAGTCTTTTTCATGGTCTTGTATTGAATGGTTCACTTTTCATGTCGGCAATTTAGTGATGTTCTAACTCTACTCAAATTCGAGTTCCACTGACCGCTCGGTTGAAATAGAATTATTATACGAAAACCTGATTTTACTATTCTATAAACAAAGTATAATAAGTTGCTTAATTCAGTCGTTTATTCAATTTAGTTTCCACATGTATTAAATTAACATTAATCAAGGCGTGCTAACAGTCCGTATAATTAATTTTACAACATATAATAAATTTTAAAAACAGGTTTAGAACAGTAGCTGTATCAGTAAATGATCAATATCTAATATGTAAATACAAAAGTTACAAGCGATTTACAGGGGCATATGTCAAATTGTAAATTTATTTAGCGCAAAAGAAATCAGGTTGTAGGGTTTAACCAAACATCGGTTGCCGTGGGCTATTTATCAAAATTCACGATAAACAGTATAGGAAATTGAAACAGCGTCAGGCGGGACCGCGAAAGTGATTTATTGCCATTATAAACAAAATATAGACTGATCATATTCCATTTGGTATATTGGATTGGGCCTACCATGGGAATTACGTCGGCTGGTAAAAAATTCATAATAAAAATTCCACCGATCATTAAACATTAAAAGGCTTTCAAACGAATTGATAAAATTTTATGCGTTCCTATAAACCTGAAAATAAAACGTCATAACTGTTTAAAAGCAACGAAGGCTGACAGCAAATTAAGGACTGGACAAGTGGAATGAGTAGAGCACAAAAATAGATAAAATGACGAATACACCGCAGTCTGTGTTATTTTATTTTCCTAAATTACAATTGTTAGTTTTCATTTAAAAAGTGTTAGCATAAATGTCGTACACAAAATACAGCTATTACCAAATAAGAAAATAAAGAAGTAACAGTTAATGTCAGTCATTCTATTTTTAGTTGAAAATATAAAGACATGAATGTTAAAGTCAACGTTATGTAATAACACAATGAAGTTTTAGGTCCCCTACTATATTTAGACGACGATACGACCCAGATGGTCACGGCATCCGATTTTAGTATCTCTCGAATTTTTAACGTGACCACACATAGTTGAACTTTTATGCTCCTTATCTACTTGTTTAGCTCATAAAATTTTCGAGATACGGTGTAGGTATGACAGATCAAACTACACTGGTAGGTGAGGGTTACCGATAGCCTGTTTTATAAAGAGACCAGACTGTATAACATTCGTAGTTATGAACGCGCGGAAAAGGAAGTATATTTTTAGTCTTATGGCATCTGGTTTGACGTAACCATTTGCTTTTCATAGAAGCGTCTTAATTAACATGCCCCTAGAGAAATGGTTTCATAACTGGAGAGCGTGACAGCAGATCATAGTCATCAGTCCAATATTTATTTGATATTTGCTCATTCATTTAGGTCGCGATATAAACAAACGTCATTAGAACGTCGGAACTGACATCATAATAAAATTCTAAGGTTTATTAAACAAAAATCTTCCTAGAATAATATCACAAGAATTATTATACAAATATAGTTAGTTTTAATCAGTTTATTCGTAGATTTTTCTGTATGTAACTCACCTCCATGAACACCACAGTAGTCGCCGACGCAATCAGCATGCTGTACTTGAGCACCAGAGCATGCATCTCCAACACAAGATCTTCTTCTATTCTGTCGGCAGTCTGAACCACAGACTGACCACTCCGTCCACACTCCCCAACGACCAGGCGATGCTGCCACGAAAAGAAGTCATAAGTAATAGTTACATACTACAACCTCTGTGGACTAATTGAGAAATATTAAGACTAAAATCATAGTCTAATTCTTATTTAATTAATGAATGTTTGTTATTCTAAGACAGAAGTCAATAACTGTATAGTATTAAGTGCTCTAGAGAATTAACTCCAACAATTATGCCAGAATATATCACAGAACTGCATATTAATCAGTGAGGTAATGTTAATTGAGTCGCTTAATCAATTGAGACTTCTTTAATATTCATACAGTCGGTGCAATCGAAGGAAATACGCAGCACTTTATATTAGTGTTTGTACTATTTTAGTATGAATACATTAAGCGGAATAGGAATAAGAAGTTTATTTGCTTGGATAAAATAAATTGTTTTCTGAATGGTCTTTCCGCGAATATAAAATTCACAAGCTACCCTTGTATCCCTTGTCATTTATATTTCTCTTTCGATACATAACAATAATTTTGCAGCGCACGTAACAACTACGTGTATAATATCTATTATGAAATTGATATGTTAGGTAGACCATGCAATATTATTAATACATTGGAGCATGCGATCTGGCCATTTGCAAATTCGATACAGGCTAATAATGGAATACTGCCTCTAATATTACATCGCCGATATATTACCAATTACATATTTATATATATGTTTCTTAATTTGTACAAAAATATTGGCAGAATGTGGTAAAAAGTAAGCAGATCAAAAAATAATAGATTATTATATCCAATATTTAACAAGATGTTTTATTTCTTATTAACATTTAAATGTTAAACACATTTCATAAAGAGCATTTTAAAATTTATCTTTGTCAAGTTATTAATTGTATCTAATAATACAAGCACGGTTCCCATAAAGTATTGCTCTATAAATTGAAATTAAAGTGCGCCAAGACGCTCACACAGCAAGGAATAAATCACATGTGTTTTTTACAAAAGAAATAATAGAGTTGAGAATTCGTTCTGAGTTGAATGTCACAAGTTATAAAAGTTAGCGAGAGTTATACTTGAATAAGTAAGCTTTGAAAGTTATACGGAGGCTTGTGTTTGAATTATGTTCTATGTGACTTAAGGAAAACAAATAACAATATTGTATGCAAATGCACAACATATATGGTAATTATGAGTATTCTATTGACGTAATGTATTATCGCAATCAGCCTTTGATATGACCCAATCAATAAGTCACTTTAAAGACCCCGCATACAAAATTACGTATGTGAGCATCATTTCTCATTAATTAATGCACAAGCATAAATCAGTCAGGGTTCGTTAGACGAGAAACAGTGAGGACTTTCACATCCTTAGCCCTGGACATTTTTAACATAATAAATTAAATGTATTTGTGTAGTTGTCAAGTATTTAAGATAAGAACATTTAGAATCAAAATAAGGTAATTTTTATTTGGTAATTTTGACTTATTAAAAAAATAAGTAATAACATGGAAGCTTATGAGTATATTTTTAGTAGCATGGATTTAATATTATTATTAATATTTTAAAAAATGTACATGAATGTATAAATATATGGGAATAAATTTTAACTATAGCTCTTAATTTATGACGTAAAGTTTGTAGTAATAGTGACATATGTAAGCAATTAAAACAATAAACAAGGGCTCAGAGATGTGCTTCATTATATTTTATTGTGTTCGACTGGTCTAGTTGGATGCACACCAGGAAGTTTTGTTTGACATGTGACCCATACGATCCTAATAAAATACTATTGTTTTAACTCTTTTAAAGTACACATATTTGAATCGAATCCAACCTATCTTACTAATATTTTGTTTTTGTAAAAGCATCTCGACTTCTTATAAGAACATCTTGCGAGAATCGTATCAGAAGACGTTATAACCATTTAAAATTTAACTTGAAATATAATGCTCCCAAATACGTCGGCTCGTATTATACAAAATCCTTTAGCTCCGCTCAAGTAATTTTACTATCGCTATGAAACACTTAGCCTTTGATGTGACCACCGCATTCTGGTTTATAGCTTTACGTATTAAACTGCGGGATTTTATAGTTCAGATGGGAGATATGGTGGGATTGTAAAGATTTTTGGGCACGTGCTTTTTATGGTGCGTAAGTGGGTGGTTCCTGTTTTCTTTGTTTAATTGGACCGTCTGGCTTCTTGTTTGACATTATGGCACGTTGTTTTAACGCTACAGAAGCTAACGAAATGCCTTTAAATGCTTTATATGCCTCTTTTATGTCCATTGTACTTAGTTCTATGCGTTATGTCATTTTTCGTGAGTATATTTTTTTTATAGTATTTTCTTGCTACATTACTTACCGATAAGAAGTTGTTGTGTATTATCGTACACTTGAAGATCCACATTGAATCCATCTTCAGTAAGCGTTAATAATATAAATAATATCATTAAATCTTAATAGACAAAATAAATCGAGTTCAGCACTATATTACCAGAAATTCCAATGTTTATAAGTGTAAGGTAAGCGTAATTTAGAAATTACGAGTGTAACTATAGGGAAATGTCGTTATGAAAACCCAACTTATACCCTCATGATCATCACACCTTTGATCTTATCTGGTAATTACATTAACATTCTACATATATTCATAAATCATACACGGCACATAAAGCGGACTTATACTAATTACAGTCTTTGTACGTCGCCATCAAAGGAACTGACTTAATAAGTCACTTCGACTCTTGGACTTATTACTTCAATGTTAGGTTTGATTGCCTCATATTTTATTATGGTCTGAATTATTGCTTTCAGTTAATGAAAATATGTAGGATTCTGTTGATTGCATGTGCTGACATTAGTCACGGATAGAAATGAAAATTCATTTAGCAATTATCGAGTAACAAATGAATGCCTCTCAAGATTTATAACAAAGACTTAATCAATAATTAACTCATATAAAAGCTATTACTGCAATGGAAATGTTGGGTGTATGAAGCTATTACGAATAATTGTATATTGTAATGATAACTTTCGTTAACAACATAAAATATTATTAAGACATTAAAGTAAAGCTAAAAATTTAATTGAAACATTATAGGTCTTTGGCCTCAAATCAAATGTAAGGAGAATTCTTTTGGTGCGTGTCAGACGGCTATCAGTAATAGTTCATCATGAAATTTAATTTATGTATGATTTTAAACGTTTATTATTTAACTGCTTTAAAATAAATTGCATTTTTAATTGTATTGTAACCTTTATGCCATACGTATTGTATTGTTGAAAATTATGAATACTCACCGCTCTGGCATAGAACGCAGTCGGCAGTTTTTTGCACACTTTGACCTTGACATGGTGCACCGCCGTTGAGGGGATGGGGTTCCGTACAAGATCTGGTTCGTCTCTGGCCAGCTATATGACCGTTACATCGACATTGTGTCCATGGGCCCCATGAACTCCAACCGCCATTAACTGTTACCCAAAAACAAGCATTGTTTGAAAATGACTTAAGATTAGCTCTCATACAAGCAACATTAGGACTTGCCTTTATAGATATAAATACTTGTATATCATACTACAATCACGATATAAAGATATTATGTAGTGTATTAAAAATTATTATAATGCTTCTGCAATGTACATTGCAAAATTTAAAATTTCATTTCAATTATGTGGCAAAACAAATTTCAACAACTTTATTCCAGACAGGAAAAGTGCAAGTGCGGTATAATATTTCAAGTTATTTTTGGTATTCGTGGGAGGAAAAATACATTTGAATTTCGCTTGGATTGTGGAAACTATTATATTCGCCTTGAAAAGTTCAAGCTTGAAGTGGGTTACTTATACGTTTTATGTTACACACAAAACACGACCTGGTTTACACGATACATAATATTGTATCGAAATAATCAAATTACAATGCAGTTATCATAAAACAACTTCTTAATACTTTAATAGCTGTTGAAGTTTAATGAATCTTAATTAAACAGCCATTGTAGTATAAATAAATAAAACACGCAATGCGTACTCGATTCGTTCTATATCTTTTTTGAGATCGTACATGCCACACAAACATGCTAGGTGGCGTGCCTAGGTCACCTAGGCGCAAAACATCGATAATAGTATTTTTAAATGGACTCTTAAGCACAATTTGTAATTCGCTTCGCTGTATTTTTAAACTGGTTTCTGCACTAATCACCATTCGAAACTAAACATTCTGTGAGCTATGTAAACTTTCTAAATAATTTATTCAAATTTGAGCTAGGTTTCGACACTTTTACGTATATTAAAATACGATTTAGATATCGCGTTTAATAAAACATTAAAAGGGTCTCAAACAGATGAAATGATGAGATAAAAATGTTAACAAATCCAGAAGATCATTACAAAAATTGCTGTAGAGTAATATTACCATGATTTCCATCGAAGGAAGCTTTCCTAAAACGCACTGTAATAGCTGATACTTCCCCAAATTACGTATAATGGGGTTACATTATCTTAACGGTTATAAATTGTCAGATTTCACACTACACCATGTGTTCCTCAAGAATTAAAATTAATGGTCGGGATTTTTTTGTTTCATATGGAACTGTAGTGTGGAAATCACGAAATATTAAGGAAATATTTTACGAATGTTTTGTTTTTGGTATATACAGTAAATATTACACCTGACCGCTAGAATTTACATAATAAAACCCCTTCTTTAGTATGAATATTGGAAATTATAAGGGAATGTTCTTAACTTAGATATATGTTTCAACAATCGTATTCATGGAATGACAATTATATTCGGTTCAATATTACAAGGGGAATCTATAATTCAAATATGCGAAGTTTCTCCATTCGGTACTTACATGAAATATGTCTTTAGTTGATCTAAGAATTAAGTAACTATATTGGATATTAGATCCTAAAACCTACTTTCAAACAGTTATAACTACAGCTCATTATAGGTATATTGGTATAATAAAATTGAAACTGTCATGTTTTAACATATGATTATTACGACTTTTTTCTAACTCAGCTATATGAAGCTTTGTATTATAATCTTTCTGTAATACAAAGCTTCATCGGGTAATTCAATATCACTAACAGGAATTATCTAATAATATGAAAAACCCTATTCCTTTCTCGAGCTTTGGCAGAAGCCCTAATAATTTTGTAATTTCCGCCTGTCCGGTTGTCGTAAGAAAATTTCCCCTTCCATCCTCTCAATACTATATACATGATATATTTATGGACAGACAGCTGTCTGACCAACCCCTTTTTAATATCTACGCATGGAAACGCTCAACTTTTTTTGCCTATTACTTGATATTTTGTTCTTAATATTATTATGGATAATGTCTATAATATTATTTGTATCATTAAATATTTATATACAATAAAAATAGACATTCGTCCAGAAGGATGAATGGTCAAGAGACCACAATGTCACATAAATTTCAAATTAGTCTTTATGGTTATCTTATATTTTGGTTGGAAGATATAAAAATTACTTTAGTATAGGTCAAGTTTACAAAAATTTAATATGGGTCTAGGGACCACCCATGGATTCGAATGTTCTCTTTCATGCGACTATAAAAGTTGATTGCCCATTTCATCTCGGCATAGCTATAAGCGTATTAATAAATAGTGATATTCGTCTTATAGTTTTTTTTTTGGTAATCCATTAATTTTATTAGTCTTGGTATTAAATGGACAGAAAGGTAATGAATATATAATAGACTCAAATTAATTATATACAAGATTGTTATGTTGTCATAAGTATGTTAATTATAAAATATTCTTAATTAATGGTAATATCATTGCTCTATTAAAATATGAAACGACGAAACAAGTTATTAAGCAATCACACGATAGTCTTCTAAAGTTCATCACAATCAACTATTAAATGAAGGTTGCAATCTCATTTCGAATAACATAAATTTTCATTACATCAAGTGTCCTACAGTTCTGTTCCCTAAAGTAAGCCATCCATCAATTAGCCTGTGCGTGACGAAATAACAAACAAGTTCACAACAATGTATTAATTTTGTGAACAACAGGGTATAAAAGGCTTGCCGACAAACATGGCGACTTAGTTATGAATTTTAATATTCAACACGTAAACAAAGAGTAATTAGTTTGAGCGCGTGATTGATCGTCATGCGATCAAGGAAGGCTTACTATTGTTTATAGTCTTTAATCTTATAACTAAGCTCTGTTTAACATTCGGTAAATTGATTATATTATAATTCACACACAATGAGCTTGTAATAGTAAGTCAATAATATCTGTGTCTGTATTATAAATGATCGAATCACTGAATATGACATGTACATTTCTTAACGCAAGGGAAGTATAGTGTTTATTTGTTAACCGTTATTGTAGTATCGAGAATCGATTTGTTTAAAACGCTTATGATCCAATACAAGTTTCTTTAAATACTTACAATAGAAGCAACAATTCCAATTAGAACCTTCGTTTCTAAAGCGGAATTTACACGGTAAACAATCATTTCCCGCGGATTCGGTCACTTCCCGCTAGGTAACCACTAAGTGTACTATTTGAGTTTGGTGTCTGGAGGGAAATTAATGAAAATTCTGAGGGTAAACTTATCTACCTAATGCTTTTACGGTTTGTTAACAACTGTCTACTTGTTGTGTGTAGTTGGTGTTTGGAAGTTTGGACGTAGTTTACTTAGGGACGCTTATGAAGCTTCCACTCTTATCGTTATATTAATTTTATATAATCTTATTTTTCTAATACAAACGTTTAAATAATTCACAACAACAATTTTTTTTTCTCATTATAATTACAAACATTATCTCAAGTTGTAATACTATCGTTAAAATAACCTTTGAGGATTATATTGTTTGATAAAATCCAAGCCATTGTTTTCTCTTATAATATTTATGCGGGCCATATCATTGTTCTTTTATTCGATATTAAAAACAACTTCTAAACTATTGTACCTTCGTCACGAACAGACTTTATCGACACGATAGCTTTGACGACAAAAAACTGGCATATCTTTTTCATATGTCGAATTGTAGAAAAAATTTTTATAAAACATATAGGAGTTCAAAGAAAAATAAACGGTTCAATGGATGATATAAAATGATTGAAGCTTTGTATTATACAATTTTGGACATGCTAAGTCAGAGGTTCTGATTGCAATCAGTTAACTAGGCGCCATATTTTCAAGATGGCGTGGGTGCTTCCTCTAATGACTCTCCCATGCGCTTGCGCAGCAATAATTGCAAGCCATCGGCGCGTGCCCTTTGATCTTGCTAAAGTATAGTTATTACAGATAAGAGAGGGTGAAATGAGCGTTAAAGAGCATCAAGACTAGCCGGTTGTCAGATAAATTATCGCTGAAATAATAAAATACGTTAGACGCCTAGTTAGGTAAGCCACTAAAGCTTATTTACGGTGATCACATTATATGATATGCTTTATAGCAGCCATGAAGGATTTAGTCATATTAATGTTGTAAAGTTGAAAACCGGTATGGATCTATGAAATCGTATTAACTTTGCAAGGGAATTTATGTCCAAGACTTGTTGAATTTAAAGGTGTAGTATTATTTATAGCAAACAAATTTGTTTTATATTTCGTATTTTATAGCGTTAATGTAGTTTTTGTACGTAATGTAGAATATAAGATTATAAAAAATATACCCAAAACATATGTTTTTAGTATTGCATCCATATTGGATAGACTTTATAATGAACACTCGGAAATTTCTAGTAAATTGAAATCGTAATAGGTTCTTATTTAACACTACAGTTATAATTCCATATAATGCAGTACTACATGACCCAAATCCACGGTCATATTTTAAACATTCTCGCCTCATAATTACAGTTAAGCATGAATATACAATTAATTATTAACAGTAACAACCAAAGAGCCGTTACTTCTTTAATGTAAAGCGAAATAGTTATCTGCAATTATCTCATTAGAAGGGACCATAGTTTTAAATTCTGTTGAAAGCAATGGAGAACATTCTGAAATATTTTTCTACTTTTATTGTCTAACTTACCATAAACGGTCAATGTGGCTGCTTCCGATACTCTTTTTCCGGCGATGTTTTCCGCAACACAGCTGTAGTTTGCCATATCCTAGAAAGTATTGTGAATTTAAAAGGGGAAAAAATTATATACCATACTTACACTTTATTTAATTATGACATTGCGGTCATGTAGAAAAAAGTCAGAAATATTTCTTTGAAATATCCAGACACATACCCAAGATTTATACATATATATATTTGGGAAGATAATTACAAACAAAATAATTAACAAAACACACGAAATCCAAAGAAAACAAACCGAAATTATTATCTAAATCACCAAGTATTCCAGAGATAACCAAAACTATACGTTTATTGAGAAGTCCGGGTTGAATCAACAGAAACATTAGATGGAGATAGCTTTGAACGATGTAAACGCATGACTATAAACATTACATTTAATTAAGAAAATGGCTCCAACACCTACAGAGATAATGTTACGGAGCGAGTGACACTGGTTGCAATTAATCCATGCCTCGCCGCAAAGGCTAATTAGTGAGTGCTCTGCGTAGGAAACTGGAGATGGTGTGAGTTATTTGCAATTTTGTCATGACTAGACTTGATTAGTGGATACTGGACCGTGACTGTAATTATGAAATCCGCATGTATTTGGCGATGTTTAAGTATTTTACGAATTCATAATAACAATATATCAAAACACGCAAACAGAATAATACCAAAATCATTTATTTGCTTCAAAATCCCAGCTTACACAATTTATGATTAAAATACCACCGGAAATAAAACATTTTGGGTTACCACACATTATTATAACAAGATTAATAATATAACTAAAATTAATGAGATTGAATATATTCCCTCGTAATGTAATTACACAAGACGAATGTCCTTTTCCACGAAATGGGGAATTAAATTAACCCAGCCTTCAGAATTTTACCAAGCGACGTCCAGCTTTGAAGGAGTGTAGCAGAACGTGACAAAAAGACGATTCCATCCGACACAGACTTGTGTCGCAATTAATAAATGTCTGCCTCGCTCGACTAATTAGTAACAGTCGACGAAGAAACATTTCGCGACAAGATGTGATTGTCCGCGCCAACACCGAGCTTTGTAATGCGTTATCTGATTTCAATCTTAGCCAAGTTTTACTGATTAAGCAAGTCAGATGTTGATACAAACAAGTTAATAAAGTTACCATTGTCAGATGTAGGACTGAGATAAAATATTGCTCAACATGTCACGCGTTGTTTCAAATATATCTTTTGTCAAATCAAGGATCAGAAATATTAAAAATGAATAAAGAAATGAAGGCACAAAAATGTGATACATACGAGAGGGAACAATAAGAAAAAAATCAAATCCGGTCTAACTTTGATTCGTACAATCAAGAGTTATAAACAAAGTTGAATGGAAGGATGTCATGTGACTCATGTCTAACCACATGTATGAACTTTATTGAATTATGATTTTCAGCCTTCTCATCTTCACATGAAGCGAATTCTTGTTAAATATATCAAAGACGACCCACAGATATGATAACATATGTATGTTTTATCAAACAAAATTATGTTTAAACAAATGTTTGAAACATGTAAATTTATTGAGCAGTAAATAAAAATAAAATATTATTTTGATTTGTTATATTTCGAAAGATAAGATTTATTGAGTGATATATTGAATTAAGAATACTAATGAATTACTTTATTTACATACCAATAACATTTTAAGCATAAAACTGTCAAAAGCAACACCGTAATGTTATATGAGCGAATTAACACGATAGAAAAATGACATCAAAATACTATGAATAAAACATTTATTCTTTAATAAAAGAATTGGTTGTAAGGTTTTTATGAAACAAGATTTTGTTGTACATAGCTTTACAGTTTTTACATAAATATTTTTATCATAGAGATAAAATATTTTTGTCATAAGTTTCTAAAATAATTTTATTTTTGTTATGAACCAGGAAAACGAAGATAGTACTTAAAGACAAATGAATACACCAGACTGTTTTTTCGTAAATAGTAAGTTACAATGCATTTATGTAAATGTTATTCGTATTAAGCGGAAACTCAAGTTCAATATGCGTGGTTGTTAGTTGTTTTGCAATTCAATATTATGGGAATAATTAAATTTCCAGAAAGTCCACCAAAGTACATGCGAAGTGTTACAATATGCGCATATCGTTTACTTTATCATCAGTAATTGTTCCATCGATTCTGTGAAATGCAACTTCCGTACAATAACCTAGCAAGAGACGAGAATTAAATTGTACTATATTTTACCTTGCGTCAATTTATAATTATACATATACCTGTCATTAATTGTACATATATTCTTTGCTTACCTGTTGTGTAGCCCTTGTTATAAGCAGATTTCCTTCAGCAGATATCAGTACGTTGTGGTCAGGTTGTAGCGGCATACCGTGCTTCAGCCACGAGATTCTTGGGGTTGGAGCCCCAGCAGGAGGTGAACATCGCAGTGACGCTGCTGACCCAGCCTCCACAGATGTTGGAGACGGTGACAGCACAAATTGCTTTTTCAGATCTGTTAATACGTTAAAAATAAATTAAAAATTTTGATCATATTATAATGTTACGTAAAACAAGAAAAATAGATTTGTCTTATTTGTTCAAAGAAAATTGTAATTGTAAATTTATATAATTGTCTTCAATACGTTATGGTTTTGTATTTCGATATTAAACTAAACTTGATAAGAAAAAACCTTTCAAACGGCGTTGAATATCTTACTCTTCAGTAGCTTTTAATATGAATGGGTACTGATACAATGGTAAATATGTATATAATATTAGTTTATAAGTTTGTCACGCTGCTATAGAACTAATTAGATCCCGGCCCGCATACGTCAGAATTAATAACACACAAACGAACAAAAGTAATACACTGTATTGAGATCAAACGTCAATATTAATTTATAGGACACGTGATATCTTAACAATATGCTCAAAGTAATTGAATAATTGTTATTTGTACAATAGACTTAGTATTGAGTAACACTAGTGGCGTTCTGTGGTGCAAGCCTTAAGAGAATTCGATGCAGAAATTGTTTCAAATTGTAAATATAGAACAACATAATCCATATTATATAATACTCTGTTTTAATATACATATTAAATATTTTTTATGTACAACTTTTAAAGCGATAAGATATTTTTATGTGCTCTAAAAAATGTCATTAGGAGTCAATAAAAACTTAATTACCGCTTCCGTCTATTAATTGTTCGATGATGGGACGTCTTCCCACGTCAATCCTAATCAAAAAATCGACTCTCGATTGTATAATATAGAATGAATTTCGTCCCACAAACGGTAATTGCTTTTCATTAAACAATTAACTTTGCGTTCAACTTGTTCGGTTGTTAATTTGGTGATAAGGTTACTTGTGTTGAAATTGGATGCCTTAGCAACAGATAGACAAAATACGACCTCATCATTTATCTCAAAAGCTGTAGTTTTTATGGTATTACTTTTTACTTTCAACAAAAGTTAATTTTAATAATATTAACGTAACAATGCTCATAAAACCTTTTAAATTCTTACACAAAGTGTAACATTCGCCGGCTTTCATTCAATGTACCTACATATATCGACATAATTTCTTAGAATACTATTATAGCAGTTTCATGTTATGCCACATAAATATCGTCTGTTTTGAAAGGATTGCGAGCAAAACTAATATTCTCTAGTTCACGTACACTCTGTGCAAAATGAACGTTTCAACTCTTGAGTGCTTTAAGCGGAGCGGAGCCATAAATCTGGGGTGTATACGCTCCATTACTTGCCCGCGTCCTGATGTATACGTCGGTGTGATGTGTTTGCTTAGCTGGCCTGTACTGCGGTTGTTTTAAAAGAGATTTGCTTAGTCTATTGTTTGCCCTCTATGCATTTTCAACTAGTGCTTTTCACGGGTTCCTAAATGCTCAGCAGATATAGTTGACGATTTTTTCTACAAGCTCAGTATAGTGAAAGAAACGTGTTGTTTATGCGATGTGTAGATGAATTTTAGATGTAATATACATTACAGATACTGAAAACCACTGGCGCCGAGTAAATTGAAGCATGTTGTAGGACACGTTATAAACTTTTAAGATCAAAAGACTATTTATAGTATCTTAATGAGAAAACGTAATTTTGTTCGCAGTTGTAAGCGACAGGCAAGACAGATGTTGTAAATTGTAAATGTTCTTATTAAAAGCATTTAAGTCAAAACAAATAAATCCATGACACTATAAATTATTTGCCACAATTTTCGACGATACTTAATTCTCCCTGACATATTGTACAGATTATCTTTAAGATACAACGTTGTTTTTATGTACCTATTCTATTTACAGAAGTTGTTCAGATATAATTAAATTAAATGTTAAAGATACAAATTTTGAATTATTGCTTTTATTTCTGTATAAAATGAATGATCTGTTAGTTAGTGTTATCGCTCTATATGAACCACGACGACAATATTGTAATCAACTCTGTACATATTATTTCGTCAATCTTTTTTCATAAAGTTTGTCCTTGAACTATATATCACCATTATATTTTTAAATGCCTGGAAACTACATATGTCTAGTCTTTATCTCATATAAATTATAAATGAATTTGTAAGGAATCTTTGTCATCATTAATATGTACCGTTTGAGTTTTACAAAGTACTCATGGAAGTAATTTATATATTTAATTACAACAAATTAGAGTTTAATGTTAGAGCAATATCCAAATATTATAGATTAACTGACACCGTTACTGAAAAAGCACGCACAGGAACTAATAAACTCTAAATATACACGTAACAGAAGTGAGACATTCCCATTCGGTTTCTAATTGCGCAGAGCAACGTGTATTACAAACGCCTCTAAATTTACATCCCGACAGTTTTAATTGTTTCGTGAGTGCTTTAAATACACTCCCAAGTGGTATCCGTGTCTATTAATGATGATACCTAAAGAAGACTGTCGCAGCTAAGCCCTCTGCTCAAGATTTATATGAGCTTCGCGTACTTTACCCAATCTGAATTACATATAAAATTTTACGGTGTAACGCATGTGTAGCTTATAATAAATTTATTAGTATGTACTATATGACAACTTGTATGTCTAATTCGGCAGTAAAAGTATAAGTCATATCGTCTTAATAAGAAAATCTTCTGAGAGAGTTATTATAAAGGCATATAAAAGATCGCAGAAGGTATGTAGTATAATAAACCTCAACATAACAAATATAAATTAAAACGAAACGACCAAGATTATTTCGAGTTACCCTTAAAACGAAAAAACAAATTTAGATAAAATTTCAACCAAACAAAGTTTAATCATCCAAGAAATAAAATTTCATTAAAAACTTTAAGGCGTAATGTTAGCCCGCCGATGGGTATAAGTGATAAGTGGGTAACACTGGCAGTTTGCGCAATGCTATAAATTCAACGGCTCGGTTTCATTTCCTGAATAAGATTCGAACATATAACTATGTCGGGGTATACTCCAGTCTGGCTCTATAAATCAAGGATTAAAGGAAACCGTGACACGTAATTATTTTGTACAGTAATGTGCAAAAATTTTCAAACTGTTCACTTTTATATAGTATCTACTCATACTTTTAGATAACAAAAAACATGTGAGTAGTTTTTACATAGGCATGTTGTATAAAAATTTCAAGTAGTTTTTGTTAAAACATATTTCATTAACTAGAGGCCAATAAATCTGGAATACATTTTTCACTGACTTTTATTTAACAGCGCGGAAGATTTACATCATCTTTGGATTGAATTTAATCGAACCGCTGTAATGGATTTTATAAGTCATACATCTCTAACACGGTTAATAGCGAGGTTTAGTTACCATTTGTCTTGTCAAAATAAATCACGAATAATTGTATTTATATGTAAATTATTAATTACTTTTATATTTAGATGTACACGCTGTATGACCGATGATTCATACAAATTGAATAAATATCTTTCATGTTATAATTCAAATTCAAATTAATGCAACTATTATTTTAGTTTCTATTTGATGGCACCAATGATTTATATGAAACTGTTGTTATAAAACACGAATTCATAAAATATATGTATTTCAACAAAAACATGTATTTTACTATTATTGAGATAAAATATTTGTGATTTTAATCTATTCGTAATTAGTATTATAGTATTATATTCTATGCTATATAAAGCTAAATTGGAAACTTACATAAAAAATTATTGTTACTTTTGCAATAAATAACTATATACATATAAGTAGAATGTAACTTTAGCTTTCGGAGTTTCACAAGGTGGAAACAAAATCAATATTTTAGAACAGAAAATATGAGTATCTTCTATCCATCAAAGAAGTGAGCGATAAAGTAGGTTATTCAAAAATAACTAACGGAAACTCTCAAATTATGAGTTTTGACGAAACGTTGCACCACGGCTCGTTTCCACCGGATACTAGCGTTAAAACTGTTTCAATCTATAAACATTACTTCATTAATGATTTTACAGTTTTGATATAATATTTAACTATATTTTTTCTTTTCTAAAACGAGAACAGAACGTAGAAATTAAGAATAAAATACTCACAAGCGAGTTCAACTATCGCTGGCTGACTTTTTATGTCACCGCGGCTACTCCAAGCGTGGCACGTGCATGAAAATCTGTCTTCACCAAAATATTCCTCTAAATGATCTCTTGTTACGTTGCATTCGGCTTCTACGATTCGAATACCATTTTGTGGGTCCACAAATTCAAATTGCGAGCTCCCAACTGACCGCACCTCATTACACTTAAAATACACTTGAAGAGCATTCGCCGCTCTACACCTCAACATTGCCGGCTTATTACGGACCACATACGCGTTTTGCGGTTCCAGTAAAAACATAGGAAGATCGTCTGTTGAACTGTGAAGAAGGTGATCTCCAGATAAAGAGGGTAGCTCATCTGCGTCCTCCCTGTTCTCATGCTCATCTTCCTTTCGAGTTTCATGATCATAATCTTCTTCCAAGTAATCGCGATGGTGAGGTACTGGATTATTCTTTTCCGAGTTATATGGATCTAACGCTTCAACGCCAGCTGGGTGTGTATACTCCGGTCGCAGTGGAATCGGCGGTGTTTGAGCACTTGTTGTATGCTCAGGCTCAGTGGAGCTTTGTTCGTCTGAAACAAATAAAACATTTTAGAAAAGTCGTTATAAACATAAAAATTAAATCTCCTAACAATATTGGCTGTGTTTAATTGATTTATAATCCATTTCGATTGCGTAATAAATTTGGTTTCGTAATAATAAATGGCAACTGTCATAATAAAGCGGCCCTCGAATGCTTTCATCGATTTCTCTCAAGTCCACACCTGGTTTGACGCCTCACTCGCTCCTGTTTACATGCAAAACATAGCTGATATTTGGATATGCTATACCCCACTTTGCCGATCCCGACGAGGTCGTTACAAAATAAACCTAAAGGGGATGTTGTAAAGTTAAATATCCAACTAGATGAAACCTAAACACCCTCGTCAAAATTTCGCTTAGGAATTGTTATCAGTACATCAGTGTATGTTACTCTTACAACAGTGTTGACAGTAATACCTCTAGGATCGTATTATTATTTGAAACGAATGTTATAGCACGAAAATAAACCGCAATGCGAGTGGAGCGAGGATAACTTAATTAGTTTCACTTCCGTTCTGTATATTTCTATTTCCGTTTTCGTAGGGACCGAACGCTATTTCCTTCTCGATTCTATTTTTCTTTAATGGAATCTGTTTAGAGCACCTTTTTTTCTTATTTTCCTATTACGGTTGTATCACCTCTATTAAAATATGCTGCTGTTACGTCTCAAGCAAAACTAAATGACGGTGCGATATAAAAAAAGGTTAGGACAACTTGTATAAAATAATATTACATACCAAAAATATCGAGGTATCGTCTACTGAGAATAGAAAGCACATAAATATTTACAAAGGCTATATGCGGCATCGCTTTATTTATAAATATGTAATGGTGAAAATCGATACAGATATTTCTGTAATTTTAGTTCAGGTCACGTATTTATTTATGCTGACGTCGGTAAATTATATATTCTCTTGAGCGGTATATCGAAGAAGAATTCGATCGAAAACATTTTGTATCGTTGGTTTGAATCTTATCGTTTTAGGCGCAGCCAATCCATCGATTGTTCGACTTCATCCATTTTAATTAGTTTTTATGAAATGGAATGAATTCTAGTTATAAATATCAAACATATTTCATTTTGTTTATCTTCAACTAAGTTACATAAAATTCGATTTAATCAATTATAGTCCGATTGTCTTTTAATATAATATAAATTTTATGATGAATAATCACAATGAAAAATTCTTCAAGTAACTTTCTAATCAATGTTTTTGGGACTTAAAGCTATTAATTCAATAATTAATTACATCATAAAATGTTTATTTAACGTTAAAATACTTTTAAAATGAGAAAACTATAAGCGAGAGAATGAATGCAAATGGATAAATTCTTTGTCGCCGTGACACGAAGCAAAATATGTTAGGTCTGACGAATGTTCGGATTCTTGATGGCTGCTAACGAGATCTAAAAACAAACCAAACCTCATCAGATCACCGTAGACATGGACTTGAAAGGCGCCGCCGTCTGTCATTTGGCCCGGCATTCAAATAATTAAGAGCGAGAACTCTGTTATTTGGGTGCCGGCATTATCTGAGGCTGTTAGTTTTGTATTTAATAGATAGGTGCGATAATAATTTTTGATTTTATCTATTACTTATTCATAATAAAGTCTTTGCTGCTAATGAAAATTTTATTACTAAATACTTATGTAAAATAAATGGGTACGGCGATGAAGTAAACAATACAATAAAAGCTCTTTGGAACTAACACTTGACCGATGTTCTAGATAGACGACTTTATTGATGTGAAATACTTAATCAACGTCGGTAAAGCATTCTCTAACTTCGATCCTCTGGAACCGAAGAAATGTCTTAATACAAAGAAACGCCATTTGTGAGACACGTTTCAATCGAACTTTGGATTTTATCAAACATCAATAGTATTGCACAGTTAAGAACGTACGTATTTGATACTTGGTTCTCAATGTAACACATAAGGCCGTCCTGAATTGTGGTTTAATGATATATATATTGATGTATGGAAGGCTTAAGGTATCTTCAATTTAAATTTAGATTAATGTAAACGATACAAAACACTCAATGTTTATCGCAGTTCCAAACATAACACTTAATCAAATCTCCAAACAAGTATAGGGTAATAGATATTTAAATTTTTTAATGGCTCACTCACACTTCTACAGTATCAGTACGGTAACACATAGAAGTAGTAACGCGTTGGGAATGATACTTGAACTAAATATAGCCGAATAAAAACTCAGTTTAATGATAGATATCGGACGTTACTCTCGTCCGTTTTTAAGTGCATTGATAAATACTTTAAACTTACGATAGCAATGTAGCATTTTTATCTCTTGAAAGCACAATAAATATAAAACAAATCAGTGTCATACAGAACTGGTGTTTCTAATTGATACTAATAGAATAAACTAAAATAGGAATAAAATCTTTATTTCTTGTAATGCTATCAAAATGGGTTATTCTATTTTCTATAAATGGTGTTGCTTTGTATTAATCTAAATGTTCCTTAAGTGTTCAACAGTTTTATTCTACGTATAAAGCTACATGTCACGACATATAATATTCAAGAAAATAAATTGGGTTATTTTTTATCTCAAAGACATTTAAAAACATGTTTTTACAGTCGTATTTCTAAGACACATCCGTACAGTAGCATCATAAACCATTCAGAATGAAACAGACGAGGATGTTCTTTAATACTTGCAGTTACTACTAAATGCACTTAACTGTGAGACGTAAAAAGAAACAACTTAATGGGGATCGGCGATTTGCTCATATGCGCTCTGTAAATCAAATTTCAGGGTGAAAGATGTCATGACTCAAAGTGTATCAGCTGACGGCATATAACTTATCTTATTTATACTATGATTTGCTGTTTAGTTACATTTTAAGAATATATACTCGTCGTTTAATATAGCCTGTAAATATTATATGTTATATTTGATATGGTCTTGTAATATTCATAACTCAATATTATTCCCACAAACACACTACAGCGGATTAGTTTTAAGATTAGTACACTTAGTACCCACAAGGTGCAAACTCAAGTTTTGAATTACCTTAAAGTGCGTTCTTTGTGCTTCAAAACCGACAAATTCTCGCCCTTGTTGCAAAAAAAAAAATTCAATAGCCGACCACACCAACAAAAACTTCTTGAATAGCCACCTTTAAGTTGTAATGTTACTTGATATATAAAGAGTATTCGAGTGACAGTCAAGAGGTTCCCAAACAAGATAATCCCTTTGTTAAACGAGTTATAATGGCATCTCCTGGGTTTTCTATTATTTTCTGTTTCGTTCAGAGCAGCTGTGATCTTAGTCTCGTATTTCACTAAATGGAAGTCCGACGACCATTGCAACAGTGAAGCTACAGGTTAAATGTTACAAAGTAGTTTTAAATAGTACCTCTTTGTACAACAGTTAGGAGTAAGGGCGATCGTTAAAATAAATATTGAATTTTATGTCCTTACTTTTATAGAACATTTATATTTACACGAGAAACTTAAAGATTATATGGTATTTAAATTTCATTGGCAATCAATATTTAAGTTAATTTCTGGTGGCGTAATAATATAAATAATCTGGAAGTTGATTATCTTATTATCTTTCTATAGATGGTTTTAATGCAAGAGTCGTGTTCGGATGCTGCCCGCAGGTCGTCACGATTAAGAGACTTTTTTACTGCAACGTCTTTGGACCTTTCTAAATCTTTTTGCTTTTTAAGGTAACGTTATAAAAAATAAACACAAAAAGTATGTAGTTTGGTTATACAATGATGACAACGGAGTACAGTTTTATCTTATTAGTATGAAAAAATATATACATATGTTTTGTCTGACCTTATTTTAAAAATATTTAGTTTAATAATTAAATTATTTTAATTAATACATAACATAATATACTTACCATGTTTATCCGCTAGGACGGCGACCACCCATAGCAGGAGGAGCACGCTCCCGCGCGCCATCTTTTCACATGCGCCCGCGCATCACCTAAAACAATAGACCGTGTTTGAGGACGTGAAAGCTGACCAATATTTGAACACATATTACGTTACTAGGAATGCAGGATATTTGTCATTATAAAAGGGCACGAACGCTAATGATCCATTAATTTTACTAGTATTTATTGTATTTCTATTGATGCATTTATGTGTTCTTATACTAAATATATGAATTAATTAAATAAACAAGGCATTCCCACGTTAATTTTGATCATTTATCATAACAACTTCATATCCGTAGCATCACTTAACCTTATTATATTCGGGTCTTTTATTATAATATTCCTACACCATAGTGGAACTAATTGGACCCCCTTTTTTACGTTTTGGGGAACCATTTTGGGCTTGATATTGAACCGTTAATTTTAGTCGTGGAATAAAACAAAAATAAAAGTCTTTAGTAGCTCAAAGTCATTGCATTAATTAGTTTAAAGTGAATTCATAGTTTCAAAATGTTTTCGAAGTATTGAAATTCAATAAATGTTGTCAATATTAACTATTAAAAAACGTTATCATAATTGAAGCGATGTAGTTAAAGCTATACAAGCAAACGTGGGCGGGCGTGTGTAACTTGGATCTGATAAAGCGCATAAAACAGTAGCACCTAGCAAAGGCTTTCATAATTACCGGAGTGATAACGACCGAGATAACACTGTTGAAGAGATTATACTGATTAACGACGCAAACATTGACATAAGTACAGAAAAGGTTCATGTGAGCGACGGATGTCAATAAGAAATGACTTTATTTCATAAAACAGAATATAACAAACGAATACATATTCAGAATACTTAGAATTAAACTTGATAAAATTATTTGTTTATAACCACAAAGGCAAATATATATAATAAATATCTTTTGCTACACAACTTCTAGACGCTAGAAATAAAGTTAAAGATTTATTTGCCATAAACGACATATCCATGCTCACTAATCAACAATGAAAAATTTTATATCCAAATTAAGATGACTAAATGAATTGTTGTATTAATAAGGAATGATTCCGAGTGACTGATGAATTTTGTGAAATATTTTACTTAATGTAAGAGTTTGCTTAAATTTTAAATGAACATAACTTCTTCGTTAGTGAGATATTTCAAAGTATCTACTAATAAATTGGGAAGTTACAAGTGTTGGAACAACTTATTGACTCCGGTTTGAAGACAGTTTTGAATAAGGTTGAGGTTACATTAGCTTTTGTCACCGATATTTTAGACTTCAGAAGTTCAGTAGTTTTAATGGGATGGGTATATCCATATAAGTCCTTAAGTCCTTTGTGAGCACGACTAAAAATCCACATCTTCAATTCGTCATCTTGAATTGATAGAACGATATTGCTTATTTTGCCCTATAATAAGATCTGAGAGCAGGTCCCAAAGGAACTCTGTTTTATTTAAGATAACGTACTTCCGTCGCTCTTATCGCAGAGTAAATAACCTCCGGCGAGCTTTTGCATGTTTAATGATGTCTCGTATTACACTGATGAACCTAATGAGCTATAACATATATGTCATGATACGATTACATCATAAACGGTAATGGAACATGCCTCTGAATTGTTATTGGTGTTACCACGAGACGCATAAGTAGCTCTAGTGCTGTTTGTTTCGTACTTACAAATGCGGAGTAAGGGTAATTGTCTTTTGTATTCCTTAAAGATATTTCCTTACAATATACATATTTTTATTTCATACTATTGGAGTTTGTTCTTAATTGGAATTGGTATTTTTTTCCATACAAAACGAATATTTCATTTTAAAACAATAGCTTATTGAAGCGGTAACTTGACGTTCCTTTTTCTCTTCAATAATATTCATGTGACTTCACTCTAATAGATTCTATGTAAGTATTAATTTATAAATGCTTCAATTCATGAATATTCCTAGATTTTTCTGTTCAAGTGAATTTATATCATTAATATACAATATGACTGGCATTAATAGTTGTTGATCAAGATTAAATTGCTTGCCAGTCCTTATACATATTATAAGTAGCACAGTTATACAAAGTATATTTGATTTTAATTGAAGAATTACATATAAAAGAGTTACTTTAAGATCGTTGAATTTAATACACTCACCGATTATTCTCAGCGTAACAGTCTTGTTAGTTTGAAGTTTGTCAAAGGATTATATTATACGAACAAAATGTAAGATAATCACCTTGTGTTGTACTGGAAATGCTTAAAGTGATTTTGTCGGGTTTCAGCTTCGAAATTAATTTTACTTAACGAAGGAGAGCGTGTATATTGTATATAATAACCTATACGCGTGATGGATTCTAATATTAGTGATTTCTTAAGGTTTAATATATAACTTTATAACGAAGAAGCTGTTTAAGTTAATATTTATTTCCTTTAAGAGCAAACAAAATCAGTTAAACATTACTTTTTTCCTTCATAAAACCTAAGTTCGAGCTTACAGTGTTAATTGGATACCTATGATTATAGGCTTATAAATCAATAAAATTTTAAATACAAACCCTGAAAACTGCCCATATAAAAATAGAACTTGTAAATATGTGTTGTAGTGATAGCAAATCATAAAAATATCTTAAATGTTCATGCAATATGATAAGCATTTGATATAACAAAATCCACGAACTAAACGGGCTTGTTAGGAACGCTGCGTGACGTGGCAATAAGACGATAACTAAAAGCCGTAAAATCCTAATTAGTGTTGTATTATAACGTTTATAATCGATATAACAAAAAAAAACAATCGATAAAGTGTTTACACAATACGATAACTTAATAAAACTTTTGTTATTGAAATTCAATGATATGAATTAATTTAATCTATATAGGTAAGTTACATTGTACTAATAAAGTACCCTAAAATATTGTGCAATCAACAAAATTGAATGCTTAATAATCTAAAATTTAAATAAGTCTTATAATATTGTAGATAAAGTACCACAAAAATAAAGAAAGTCGTTAGAATACAGGAGATGGTATATCCGAAGTAACATGTAACTGTGGGCGTTAGAGACACCGCTGTGAAGAGATTACGACTTCAATGAATTCGTATATAAAGTTTGAATATTCAGTTCAAATGGAGGACGGAACTGAACTCTCTATCGGATATCTTGATATAGCTTTCATAAATATTCTTAACATCACGAAGATAGACTCGTTAATAATCGGTTATCGTAACGCAGTCGTATCGTAATCGTCGAACGTAAACACGATTGTTAAGATATTAATCTTTGTTCTTGACAAATGGGGCCTTGCGTACGCTTAAACAGCCTTCGGCTAACATGTGAGTAATAGAAAATAATAGGAGTTTAAGAAATCGTTTTGGCTATAAGCCAAGGCTCGTATTAATTTCACAATATCGCCTTTATATCCAATAAGGTCATCGTGATAATTATTCCAAATGTCAATTATGTTTAATTAATATACCATATCCATTTATGTTAAATGAATGTTTTTAGTGTCTCTGAAACTTCGCCTATGTTTGAATCATAGTCATCCTGGCGCCTTATTATCCATATCTTCCATCACCACGTGACTTAGCATGGTAATGGAGGCGGCATTAACCTATTTTTACAAAAGCATAATGGTGAGTTTTATCAGATCCAAGAAGCGCCCAACAAACGTCGCATACGAAGGAGAGTTTAGATTAACGAGACAATTCTGTCTTTTCTTAAGAAAAAAAACTAAGGTGTCTCTTGAATCACCCTATACGTTCTGATGGAGCTCGTTTATGTTTAAGGAGACTAGCTTAGTCAGTGACTTTTTGTTTATATTAACTTAAGATATTCTACAAAGATAGTCATTTCATTCAATGGTATCATATGTCTTTTGTTTTATATTTGGTAAGATTGTTGCATGACAGAAACACGAATAAAAGTACTGTGTTTTGTACTAACTATAGTTTATATTTTAGACCTTAATTATAACAAGTGTAAAAACAGTTGCGACATGAAATAACAAAAACAAACCATACTCATGATAAGGTTCGACCGAATTTCTTATCAGTGTCAAAGGAGAAAACAATAAATTCTATTTTATCAAGAGTAATGATGAGTCATATTTCTTAATAATCAGTCACAAGAAAAAATTAAGATAAAAGAATATATTTTAAGAAATATCAATGTGATAAATTTAAGATTAACTCTCAAAAAAATTGTAAACAAATACCAGTTTTTATGAATCTACATTTTTTATGTAAAACATCTTATCTTCTGAGAGGAGAAATTCGCTCAACCGACAAATAGGCATCTCACTCACTTTTTGTCATCCGCTTTTACGTTCAACTCCAAGTGACGCGATTGATCTAAGAACAACATCGCTTTACACAAACTATTACAAAGGCTGAAGGAAATATGTTTTTTAAGTAAACGGCTTAAGATTAGGTATAACATATTCCAGTATATGTTATTCCATACTTAAAAGCTCGGTAGAGATTTAGATGCTAAAGAAAACATGTACTCGTACCAAGTTATATATAAAATATAATTTTAATTCAAATAATCGTACTCAAAATGTACTTAACAGGTATATTATAGGTAAAGATACATATAAATATTCACAAATATTTACACAAGTACGTATGTATATTATAACCAGTACATAAGTGTATTTAATTATTTCTAGTTTTGCTTTTTAATAATTTCTTCCTAATTTATAAGAGTCCTCTTTTTAAAATATCTATTCCATTAATAAATTAATATCTTTTTTTTTTTAAGTTTTTACATATAATGTAGTATATGAATACAAATATAGCATACACAATTGCCTCATTCAATAAGTATTCGCTGTATTCATTTTAAATGCCAATTGGAAGCAATCATTTTGAAGTTACTTATTGATCATAATAGGTAATTCACATTAAAGTATACGATGATATTTCAATAAAGACTAGTTAGGATATATATATGTCTACATAAATCTAAGTGACGATTCTTTAATGAATGTACTTAGTTCTCTAATGTTGCGGCGTCGTTAACAAATTCGAATA